AAGCTGGGGTAGGCGAGTCTTCACGTGATCCATAATAACTACTGTGTAACCAATAATAAAAATAAATAAAAATCTCCATTCCTGCAACAAGGAGACGCGACCCTATAAGTGAATCACGTCGACGTCTCAGCCAGCCATTTACCACGACGAGCAGCTGTAAACGAATACGTCGACACATTTTATATACAAACAAGCCGGCCGACCCCTAGCAGGCAAGACCGAGGCACAGTGTTTAGTGATGGCGGAAGTGGTGGTGGTGATGATGGCACGCACACACACACACTTCCTGTATTAATCTGTTAATTTCACATCAACATTAAAGTCTCAATTAAAGTAATGTAATAAAAACAATGGGATAACCCGAAGATGTATAGTGACCGTATCTAAGTAAAGGCACAGAGTACGTATAACCATATGATGATGATGATGATGATGATGATGATGATGATGTGGACGATATTGATGATAATGAATTTTAACCGTTATTTCCGTACTTCAGTTCAAGTTAGTTACTGTAGTTAGTTAGGTGAATCGTGTGAGTGTTTGAGGGCCGAGAAATTGGACCTTGGTCGTTTATTACACAGAGTCAAAACAAATGCTGGCCCAAGGTTTGTATATTCTGATGAGAGGGATGGTGAGGAAGAGGGAGGGGTGAGGGGAGGAGGGAGGTGAGGGAGAGAGGTGAGGGTGAGGGAGAGGAAGGAGGGGGAGAGGGAGGGTGAGGAGAGGAAGGAGGAGGGGTGAGGAGAGGAAGGGAGGGAGGGAGGGTATGATGAGGATAAGGATACGGGGAAGAAAGAGGAGGGAAGGAAAAGGGGAGGAGGACGATCCAATGACGCCAGACTCCTGAAGAACCTCGTGTTTACCGCCACTGTACAAATTGTTTGGGTTTTGACGCTGCCAGGACCACGCTGTCAGCCGCACGATCAAGGAACTGTAACTTGTGAATGTAAAAAAAAAATATATATATATTCCCCTTCTTCATTAATGGCAGAGATAAGTCAAATATTGAATAGAAAGGGATCATTATTTAGTTAGAATTAATCATCTCAAGTACGTCAATAAATGTTTGAATTTGTTTTATATAATTTCCCACGAACACAATTTTTTCTCCATTCATTTTGAATTAAACAAAACTACATAAAATAAGAGAATAAATTACGTACATATTAAGATAATTATATTTAAATAAACCTGACAATACCAGGAGAGAATAATAACATTAATAACCAAATGACTTTAATACACAACCCTGAGTTATTAACCAGGACGTAAAAAATAATTGGATAAATAAACCACAAAACAGAGAGTCATACTAGGACGCATAGGTGGGAGAGGGAGAGAAGGAGAAGAGGGTGAGAAGAGAGAGAGAAGGGAAATAAGGGAGAAGAGGGAGAGATGGGATATAAGGAGAAGAGGGTGAGATGGGATATAAGGAGAAGAGGGTGAAAAGAGGGAGAAGGAAATAAGGAGAAGAGGAGAGATGGGATATAAGGAGAAGAGGGTGATAAGAGGGAGAGAAGGAGAGAAGAGGGAGAAGGAGAAGAGGGTGAAGGGAGAAGAGGGGTGAGAAGAGAAGAGGAGAAGAGAGAGAGAAGGAAATAAGGAGAAGAGGGAGAGATGGGATATAAGGAGAAGAGGTGAAAAGAGGGAGAGAAGGGAAATAAGGAGAAGAGGAGAGATGGGATATAAGGAGAAGAGGGTATAAGAGGGAGAGAAGGGAGAAGAGGGAGAGAAGGGAGAAGAGGGTGAGAAGGGAGAAGAGGGTGAGAAGAGAGAGAAGGGAAATAAGGGAGAAGAGAGAGATGGGATATAAGGGAGAAGAGGGTGAAAAGAGGGAGAGAAGGAAATAAGGAGAAGAGGGGAGAGATGGGATATAAGGGAGAAGAGGTGAAAAGAGGGAGAGAAGGAAATAAGGGAGAAGAGGGAGAGAGGGATATAAGGGAGAAGAGGGTGAAAAGAGGAGAGAAGGGAAATAAGGAGAAGAGGGAGAGATGGGATATAAGGGAGAAGAGGGTGATAAGAGGGAGAGAAGGGAGAAGAGGAGAGAAGGGAGAAGAGGGTGAGAAGGGAGAAGAGGGTGAGAAGAGAGAGAAGGGAAATAAGGAGAAGAGGAGGAGATGGGATATAAGGGAGAAGAGGGTGAAAAGAGGGAGAGAAGGAAATAGAGAAGAGGGAGAGATGGATAAGGGAGAAGAGGGTAAGAGGGAGAGAAGGAAATAAGGAGAAGAGGGAGAGATGGGATAAGGGAGAAGAGGGTGAAAAGAGGAGAGAAGGAAATAAGGAGAAGAGGAGAGATGGGATATAAGGGAGAAGAGGGTGATAAGAGGGAGAGAAGGGAGAAGAGGGAAGATGGATATAAGGAGAAGAGGGTGATAAAAGGGAGAGAAGAAGAAGAGGAGAGAAGGAGAAGAGGGTGAAGGAAGAAGAGGAGAGAAGGAAAAGGTCTGTCTTTAAGCACACCATTCAGTAACTTAAATCTACACTATTCATCAACTTGTATAAATAATTAATCCCTGTAGGTTAGGCTAGGTGAGGTTAGGTTAGGTTAGGGCGTGTCAGGTCAGGTTGTTAGGGCGTGTCAGGTCAGGTTAGCGTGTCAGGTCAGGTTAGGGCGTGTCAGGTCAGGTCAGGTTAGGCCAGGTCGTGTCAGGTCAGGTTAGGTTAGGCCAGGTCGTGTCAGGTCAGATTAGGTTAGGGGCGTGTCAGGTACCATCTAGATTACTAGATAATAATAAATACACGAGAATCTTACCTTATGAAAGTATACCTCCTCCTGCCCCCTCACCTCCCTCCCCTCCTCCTTCCCCTTACCTCCTCCCTCCTGCCCCTCACCTCCTCCTGCCCTCACCTCCCTCCTGCCCCCTCACCTCCCTCCTGCCCCCTCACCTCCCTCCCTCCCTCACCTCCCTCCTACCCCCTCACCTCCCTCCCTCCTTCCCTCACCTCCCTCCTACCCCTCACCTCCCTCCTCCCTCCTCCCCTCACCTCCCTCCTACCCCTCACCTCCCTCCTCCTTCCCCACCTCCCTCCCTCCTTCCCTCACCTCCTCCTGCCCCCTCACCTCCCTCCCTCCTTCCCCTCACCTCCCTCCCACCCCACCTCCTCCCTCCCCCTCCTTCCCCTCACCTCCCTCCCTCCTCCCTCACCTCCCTCCTACCCTCACCTCCCTCCCTTCCCTCACCTCCTCCTCCCTCCCTTCCCCTCACCTCCCTCCCTCCCTCCTTCCCCTCACCTCCTCCCTAAATAAATTACATTAAACTACAACAACGCGTCGTCCACCGCCACGGATGACCAGGACTGACTGACCACTAGACGGATGTGACCAGGACTTAAGGGTTCAGGCTGCCAGATGTAGGACACTAACAATATCTAAGCTTATCAACGTCACAAACAATATCTAAGCTTGTCAACGTCACAAACAATATCTAGCTTGTCAACGTCACAACAATATCTAAGCTTATCAACGTCACAAACAATATCTAAGCTTATCAACGTCACAAACAATATCTAAGCTTGTCAACGTCACAAACAATATCTAAGCTTGTCAACGTCACAAACAATATCTAAGCTTATCAACGTCACAAACAATATCTAAGCTTATCAACGTCACAAACAATATCTAAGCTTATCAACGTCACAAACAATATCTAAGCTATCAACGTCACAAACAATATCTAAGCTTATCAACGTCACCAAACAATATCAAGCTTATCAACGTCACAAACAATATCTAAGCTTATCTACGTCACAAACAACATCTAAGCTATCTACGTCAACAATATCTAAGCTATCTACGTCACAAAACAATATCTAAGCTTATCAACGTCACAAACAATATCTAAGCTTATCAACGTCACAAACAATATCTAGCTTATCAACGTCACAAACAATATCTAAGCTTATCAACGTCACAAACAATATCTAAGCTTATCTACGTCACAAACAACATCTAAGCTTATCAACGTCACAAATGAATATCTAAGCTTATCAACGTCACAAACAACATCTAAGCTTATCAACGTCACAAACAATATATTTTTTTTTCACGGGGATTAGCCCACCCGGCAACAGGTCAATGACCCACATCGGGGCCTGGGGGAATAATAATAATAATAATAATAATAATAATAATAATAATAATAATAATAATAATAATAATAATAATAATAATAATAATAATAAAGTTAGAAAAAAAACATCAAATAAAATATGAAATAAAAATATAATAAAATAATTATAATAATGAAGAACCAAAAAGAAAAAAAAAGCGATCAATAGTGAGAAACAATATATATACTGTATGTTGTGTTGTCAATAGTATGAGAAACAATTGAGACCCTGCAATTGTGTGTAAATGAGGCAGAAAGTCAGATCATCAACCTGGGACTTGGTCACATATGGCAGCAGGGTCTACCATTAGACAACACATTATGCTCCAATATCTTCCCAGTACCTCCCTGTTTGGTAGCTGTCAGAAACGCAGTGTCTCCTTGGTATAACAGCCAATGATAATAGAATCATTTGCTACGGTTCCTAAGTTATCACGTCAAAGGGTTAAATCATCGTGTCGGGTTAAATCATCGTGGTCAAAGGGTTAAATCATCGTGGTCAAAGGGTTAAATCATCGTGGTCAAAGTTAAATCATCGTGGTCAAAGGGTTAAATCATCGTTGTCAGCGGTTAATCATCGTGGTCGGTTAAATCATCGTCAAAGGGTAAATCATCGTGGTCAAAGGGTAAATCATCGTGGTCAAAGGGTTAAATCATCGTGGTCAAGGTTAAATCATCGTCGTCAAAGGGTTAAACTATCGTGGTCAAAGGGTTAAACCATAGTCGTCAGCGGTTAAATCATCGTCGCCGGGTTAAATCATCGTCGTCAAAGGGTTAAATCATCGTCGTCAAAGGTTAAATCATCGGTCAAAGGGTTAAATCATCGTCGTCAAAGGGTTAAATCATCGTCGTCAAAGGTTAAATCATCGTCGTCAAAGGGTTAAATCATCGTGGTCAAAGGGTTAAATCATCGTGGTCAAAGGGTTAAATCATCGTCGTCAAAGGGTTAAATCATCGTCGTCAAAGGGTTAAATCATCATCAAGGGCTTAGTTTATGCTACAATGAGCCTTATAAATACTTGTTATATAGTGAGTTTTAAGAGAGTTCCCTGGGGGTAAATTATACCTTTAGTTTACAAGTACTAAGCCGGGAGGTGACTGACTGTTCCAGGTTCCAATAACGTAAGAACTGCTCAACTCACACCACGGACCCTTGAGTCTTATTGCATCGACATAATAACCAACCATTAACGAGTGTTGACATAATAACTACCAAATAATCATCAAGAAAATAGGGTAGAGTAGTGAAGATGTGGAACACCCCGCCACCATGGGCAGTGAGTGACCCCGTTTGATACAACTGGGTGCTGGCGTTGTTTGGGCACCTGAGGGTATAGACCGACCCCTCCTGTACGAGCTTTCATCATGTAAACAAATATATGAGGCCCCTCGCACCCTGCCCCCGCCAGTCTCTCTCCTGCTGGGTAGTGGTTCACGCCTCACCAAACACTGGTCCTTATGTGTACAACAGTCATCAGGTGCCGCGAGATGTCTTTCTGGATGTGCTACAGGGCGTCCGCTGCTTCTCACAGATGTATTGATTTCATAATGGAATGTCCTGGTTCTCGAGATAGCGGTGTAGTGTGAGCAAACAGTTGAGTAAAAGTGTTAAGGCAGGATGAAGGAACGCGGTCGTCTGTCGTGGGTGATGGTGTTGGTGGCGTGTGTCCCAGTGATGACAGAGGTGATCACGGAGAACACGTCTGACCCCTTACCTAGCTTGTTCATCAGGCAGGAGGCCACCCTCAGGAAACTAGACGTGCTTATCGTCAAGGTCAGCAAAGTGGACGAGCTTGAGTTGAAGCTCGACCTACTGACGAACCTCCTCAAAGGCCAGGAGGAAAAGAACTCACAGCTGGAGGCCAAACTGAGGTCGATAGAAACCAAACAGGAGGCACTGCTAGAGGCCACGGAAGACATGCTTGGTGGAGTGTATGATATAGTGGATCTGAAGGGACGTGAAATAAAGGCAAAGATTGATAACAGGATAAAAGAAGTGGAGCATAGCTTGGAAGTGAAGCTGGGAGCCGCGAACACCTCCATACAGTCGGTGTCAGAGAACATCAAGTCCCTGAACCTGAGTGTACACATGATCGGGGCGAGTGTGGAGGAGCGTTTAGATGATGTCTCCAGTGACCGTCCGGGTGACTGTGGGACTCTGACGACCAACACAACCGAGGCGACGAAGCAGATGATGCACGACTACGCCCTCAACCTCACCCTCGTTACTGAAGTCGTCCTTAACGACATGAAAAGCTATTTTGAGAGCGTCGTGGAGGAGGTGGTGGCCAATAGTAGCCAGCCTGAGTGCGACTCTCAAGTGGTTCTCGACTGCCAGAGGTCGCTCTCACGCCTGGAGGAGCTGGTGGCCCCCAGCACTAATGCCACCAAGCACCTCATCGCCGCCGTCTTTAACCGCATCCGAGTGTCTAACTTGGCTATGGACAAGCGCCTGGGGGCTCTTCTGCACACCTCCTCCATACGTCAGCGCGTCCTACAAGACAGACTCCTGGCAGCCATCACCTCCGTCGACACCTTGGTCAGGACGCAGACACAAGACGTCTACAGGAAAGTAGAATCTCGCCTCGGGGGTCTAGAAGACTCCTTGGCTGCCTCTGCCAAGCGCCATGCCAAGGAACTAGCCATGCTGGTCCTCGAGGCAGCTAACTACACCTTGAATGACATGTCGTCCTCCACCGCCGCCCAGATCGACCTGCTCCTCCACGCCCAGGCCAACAACACCGCCGTCCTCAACAATGGCCTCGACCACCTACAGGAGCTTCACAACCTCACCCAGACGAGACTGTCCGCCGCAGACCTCTGTGTTGTGTCGGTGAGGCTGTGTGTCTGTGACGTATGTATATAGAAAGATAGTGTGAGACTAATAGATGGAGTGACAGGAGAGAGAGAGGAGGGCGTGTTTGTGTTATAAGGCATAGAGTACGTACTTCAGTGACCAACACACACAGTCAGGCCAACACAAGGGGCGGGTGAAGGAAGGTATTGCCCCTTAACTCACGCCTTCCTTACCTCATCCTGTCCCGTGTCTTCTCCCAGATATATAAAAGTAAAACAGTAAAACTCAAATAAAACAGTAAAACAAATAAAGAACATTAAAACACAGTAACACACCAATAAAACAGTAAAACACCAGTAACACACCAATAAAACACTAAAATGCAATTAAAACCGACATTAATTCATGCACAGCTGCGTCATACCACATTTCTCCGTCAGTGACACATAGACCAGCTAGAATAAGTTACTTTAGTTAAAGTCATTCCACTCTCAAGTCTTTATATTGATTTAGATAAATAATTCCTTCACTACGGGCCGCCCCTTTTAATAGCTTATTTAGTTAACGCCAGGCGGTTATATTCACCAGGAGATGCTACTTAACTCTTAACATTCTCAATAATAAGTTAATCCTACCTATTTTATCAATAATTGGCTCAAATTTGGACCTTCCCTGTTGCTAGTTTGGCGGACAATTTTTGGTCTCATTTTTGTCAATATCTGATGCTTAATGTATAGTCTTTTTTGTGGAAACACTAAAAAAAAAATTTATTTCAGCTCCCGAGTTGAGAATCACGAAGTAAAAAAAAAACCTCGCCTTTTTTACGTTACTATGACCGTTCTCCTTCTAAAAACACTATCCGATTTCAGAGTCTTTCCGTTAACTGTCAATTACTGGTATTAAATGAAGACGTTTAGACTGTAGACACAAGCGGTCAGAGGGCCTCGTGAGTCAGGATGTGCTGCAGCGTCGCGTCATATTTCTAAAGCAGTGATAACTGGGCCCTCCCTCACCCTCCCTCCTCCTCTTTCCACCACGCCGTTGCCGTCAAGAATGTACAGTAATATTAATGGACATACAACTAAACTATAATCAACTTCAGAAAAAAGCGAACTAACTAAACCTAATAATAAAACTGTCCTACAATATATTCTACTTAAATTAAAAGTTAAATAGGCTAATATATTTTGATTCCTTTGGTCTGTTATCGAAGTCATGCGGTGCAGTATCTGGTCTTCATGAAGGAACAGAAGCAACCTTGCATGCTGCCTGCCCTCAGCGGTGGGTCATGCATGAGTGAATCATTGTCCGTGTGACTTACTAACCTTCAAATATTTGTTGTTCCTACACCGGGGATAACAAGCACCAAGCATCGCAACCACAACTGATGATGCCTCCAACACGGCCTGGCCCGGTCCTCTGCCTCTCTCCCTGCAAAAAAAAAAAAAATTAATAAAATATTAATAAACTAAAAAAAAAATAAATATTAATTAAATAAATAAGACACAGTAAAACCAAATAAAACAGTACAGCAATTGAAACGGTAAAACTATATAAATCACTAAAACAGAAATAAATCGGTTAAACAAATTAAAACAGTAAAACACAAGAACATAAGAATGGAGGAAACTGCAGCGGGCCTATTGGCCCATACTGGGCAGTCCTGTTTACACCCAACCCCTATTGCTCATATGAGCATCCAACCTATGTTTGAAGTTATCCAGTGTATTCGAGTTAATGATGATATTTGGTAACTTGTTCCTCATCCACTACTCTGTTACCAAACCAGTGTTTACCTATTTCACGCCTAAATCTAAATTTGTCTAATTTAAAACCTTTGTTACGAAGTTCGCTCCTGGTTGGATAGTTTGAGTACCTTTGTAATGTCCCCTTTGTTCAGCCCTGACTTCCATTTATACACCTCTATCATATCGCCCCTCACTCTACGTCTCTCGAGAGTGCAAATTAAGATGCTTTAACCTGTCTCTGTACTCAAGGTTACTAATGCCCGATTAGCCTTGTCATTCTCTGAATTCTTTGATTCTATATCCATTCTGTAGTACGGTGACCAGAAATGAACTGGTAATCCGTGAGGTCTCACAAGAGCAAATATAGTTTTAGGATGACCTCGCTAGTCTTGTAACTAACACTCCTTTGTATGAACCCAAGTGCTTTATTAGCCTTGTTTCGAGGAAATACACATTGTTTACTTGGCTTAAGGTTCCTACTTATCATTACTCCTACTCTCTCGCAGTCGGATTTCTCTATGGCATCGTCTTATTTTAGTGTCATCAGCAAATTTACTTATGTTGCTGTCTATGCCGATATCTATGTCGTCTATGTGTATAATAAATAATAATGGTCCAAGTACTGAGCCTTGGGGAACTCCTCTAGTGACGTTGCTCCAATGGGATTTAGTGCCGTTAATGCTCACTCGCTGTTTCCTGTCCTGTAACCACGCCCTAATCCATTTAAGCAAACGAACTTCTCAGAGTAGACTGAGTTTCGATGAGGCTACCACTATATTGACCAATGCTTGTGTATCCGGGTTAACTTATCAAGAGAATCAATACTAATGAAATGGGTTCTGTTGACAATTTTAATCAGAACTTAAAATTTCATCTCCCCAAAAGGATAATAAAATGTTTGTACTTGATCAATATGATATAATATATAGGCCGAATATCCCAGGATACAATACCATGATATAGATTAAAATATAAATTCGTCTGGGAAATATAATACTATATCATGGTAAGTTTCTCCTGTGTTTAGACGATTGTAATCTAACCTAATACAACCTAACCTATCCTAGACCATTTGTGTGTTTAGATAATTGTAATCTATTGTCAGTGCCTACAAGAATCTGTGTGTGTACCTTATAGTTGAGCTAAACCATTACTGATGATCACCAAAACAAACTAACCTAAACATAACTGGGGAAGATAGCTTAATTTTCTTTTTCCCTCCTCTTTCTTCTTTTACTCTTCCTTTCTTTTTCCCTCCTCTTTCTTCTTTTACTCTTCCTTTCTTTTTCTCCTCCTTTCCCATCTCTTCCCTTTTCTGTTGTTCCCTTTTCTTCGCTTCTTTTTCTCCTCTCTTCTTTTCCTCCCCCTCCTCTTGCGTCTTCTTTTCCTCCTCTTCCTCTTGCGTCACCTTTCCTCCTCCTCCCTCTCCCTTAAGTTAGTTTAGATTCACGTTCACATCCCGTCCCAGGAGAGGTGAGGTTAGGTTTGGTTACAAAGTTTTAGGAAATAATTAGACACGCCGCGCACACCTCCACCCCACGGATGTATACACTTCAGACAGGAATTAAATCCAGACGTTGGCCGGCCAATTATAACATACTGTACAGCGAAACCTCCAAATAACGGACTTATCTGTATACTCTTATAATCCGTTAGATGGGGGTTTCACATCTAACAGTCCCTCAATATAACGGACTCTTCACCCCTATAAGAACATAAGAAAATAAGGAGTCTGCAATAGGCCGGTTGGCCTGTGCATGGCAGCTCCTGTCGAGAGTTACCACCACTCTCTATCATCCATGAATCTATCTAGCCTCCTTTTGAACCTTTCCAGAGTTCCAGCACGTACTACAAAGTTGCTAAGCTTGTTCCACTCGTCCACCACCCTATTTGTGAACCAGTTCCTTCCTATTTCCCTCCTAAACCTAAACTTATCCAACTTAAATCCGTTGCTCCGAGTCCTATCCTGCTCGGATATTATAAGAACTTTATCTATATCCCCTTTATTGATTCCTTTCACCCACTTAAATACTTCTATCATATCTCCCCGCACTCTGATATGGAAGGTTTCTAAGTCCCGGAATAATTTTCGTCATTCTTCGCTGCACAGACTCTAGTGAATTGATATCCATTCTATAATAAGGGCACCAGAACGGACTGCATAATCGAGGTGCGACCTGACTAGCGCAAGATATAGTTGCAATAAGACCTCTGCACTCTTATTACTTACACTTCTAGATATAAAACCCAATACTCTGTTTGCCTTATTTCGAACATTAACGCACTGTTTTCTAGGCCATAGGTCCGGGCTTACAAGTACCCCTAGGTCTCTTTCACAAGTCGACTTCTCTAGGTTGATGTTGTTAAGGCTGTATACATTGACAGTATTTGTTCTTCCAATATTATGTACGCTGCACTTGCTGGTGTTGAATTTCATTTGCCATTTCTCAGACCACCCCTGCAGTTTATTTAAATCCTCCTGTAGTGCATTTGCATCCTGCCCTGAATTAATCTGCCGCCCTATTTTGGTGTCATCCGCAAACTTGCTTATATCACTGCTAATCCCAGTATCTAGATCGTTTATGTAGATTATGAACAAGAGTGAGCCTAGTACTGACCCCTGGGGAACCCCACTGGTTACACGGCCCCACTCAGATTTAACACCATCTTAGCTGACCCTCTGTGTTCTATCGGTGAGCCATGATTTTATCCAATTTAAAACTTTCCCCTCGATACCATGAGCCTTAATTTTCCTCAGAAGCCTCCGATGCGGTACTGTCAAATGCTTTGCTAAAGTCTAAGTAAATAACATCATAATTTTCGTCATTATCTACTACCTCGAAGACTTTCCTAAAAAACGTCAGCAGATTTGTTAGACAAGATTTTCCCTTTGTAAACATATGTTGAGAGTCGTAGATTAATTTGCTTTTCTCTAGATGCAATCGAATGCTATCTGCTATAATTGATTCAAGAAATTTCCCCACTACTGACGTCAAACTGATTAGCCGGTAATTTGACGCTGATGCTCTGTCTCCCTTTTTTAATATGGGTACTACATTTGCCTGTTTCCACAAGTCTGGCACAACTCCAGTGTCTAATGATTTTGTAAATAAATTTACGAGGGGTCCGCTAATCTGTTCCTTACACTCTTTCAAGACTCGAGGGAAAATCTCATCGGGCCCTGGGGATTTTGTCTTCTTTAGTTTATTTATCCTCTTAAGAACATCCTCTTTTCTGATAGTGATATTCTTTAATTTCTCTTCTTCCTTTCCCCTAAATATCAGTTCCACCTTGATATTACGGGTTTTCCTTTCGATGTAATCCGTTAAATAGAGGTTTCACTGTAGCTAATACTAATTTACCTACAACATGTCTGGGAGAAACACGAGAGGCGTTTTTAAAATTATTAGCGTAATTTGATTGTGTACGAATAAGCCGTTTTCCCTATGCCAATGCGGTTTTCAAGAGCCCATTTAAAAAAAAAATGGGAACTGTGTATCGTATCCATTCCTCTCTTTTAAGGTGTGTGTGTGTGTGTGAGTCTTGTTGGTGTGGGAACTGTTTACACCAGCGCCACGGTGTTGTTTACGTTGTGTTCAAGAGGCCAGTGCTGCCACCTACCGCCACTCATCCCCCCCCCACAGCTCACTTTCCCTTATCTTCACCTACAACATTTGGGCCAATGGATAGATATTAAACATAAAATAATGAGAGTTTCAATTTTGTTGTAACCTGAGATACTCTTAGCCATTAATCGCATAAACACGAGTTGTCTGCCAGCGTGAAAAACTAAAGCTTGGTATAAATTTACAAGTAATAAAAAGTTAAAGTTGCAGAGAAGGGAAATATATCTTGACTTTAGACGTTAACATTTATTTACTTGTGAATAATGATAAAAGTAACTGGCGAACTGAAAAACCATTCAATATTATCGTTTTATATTTGACGTTCAGTATATAGCCAAACGTCTACAGAAGCCATCAAATATGGATTATATGAATATTAGACCACAGCTTATTTCACCTGATAATTAAAACACAATAATGCTACCTGGGAGGGTTATGTAAGGTAAGGGTTAGGTTAGGCTAGGCTGTTGGGTTAGGTTGTTTAATCAACAGGAAAATAAGCAGAGGTGCTAATATTCATATGGGTAAATTATTCCCAACTGACCAGCCGCCGATATATTATTGAACACGAGTTTAAAAATGATGCAATTGTACTGTGTTTTAATGCCCAAACACATCAGTAAATGTAAACTATTCCAAGCGGTCAAAGATCTCACTACCCACTCTCAACAGGCTCACAAGGCTACCCAGAACGGCACCACCATCCTGTACACTGATCCATCCTTCACTCTCCTCAACGAAACGGTAAGTCACTTTGATTTATGGCGGTAACTATAATTGGTGTTGGGTGTATGAGTGTACGTGGGTGTAGGGTGTATGAGTGTACGTGGGTGTAGGGTGTATGAGTGTACGTGGGTGTAGGGTGTATGAGTGTACGTGGGTGTAGGGTGTATGAGTGAGGTGTACTATAAGACGTCCCTCGCCCACAGATAGCCACCATGGCAGACCAAGTGATTGACCACATGACACACATCTCAGATCAGGTGGCAGGCCTCAGGATTTACTACTCTACCAGCCTCCACATGCACACCCAGCAGGTAAAGTCTACCCTCTTATTATTTCTACCTCCAATATCTACTCCATCATCTACCCCTCTACCTCTCACTTCATCACCCTTCAGTAAGTAGAATGATGTATCTACCCCTACTCCCTGTTAATGGTCCACATGTCATAGGTTAGGTTAGGTTAATCTTTAAGTACTAATATATTGATAAAATATATATTATCTTTTTCTCCCCTCTTCTCCCTTCTTTTCTTCTCCCTTGTCTTGTTTTTACTCCCTTCTCCCTCCTTTGTCTCTCTCTCCCTCTCTACACTTTCTTTCTCTCCCTTCTCCCTACTTTCTATCTCTTTCTTATCTCTCTGGTTGCAGATATCGTCAGAGGTTGAAGCAGTACAGTCTGGGGTGCGGCGGGCGGTACAGGACACGTTGAACAAGTCGACCCGCACCCTGGAGAAACTAAGACGTTCATCCCTTGGTTACCTGGACGCAGCAGTCACCAGTGTGTCCTCTGCCGCTGTCGCTTCCGCCCAGTCCACCGCCGACCAGCTCACTGAGGCGCTCCAGGATGTAACAGACCAACTCCAGCAACGACTGTCCAAGGTGAATGGTCCATGTGGGTGGCCAAAGTAGTGAGGGCCATGTGGGAGGGTGGCCAAGGTAAAGGGGGCATTGGGAGAGTGGCCATGGTAGGGGGGGGGGGATGCGGGAGGGTGGCCAAGGTAAGGAGGGGCATGTGAGGGACAATACTAGAGAACATGGCCAGGTGAGAGGCAATACTAGAGAACATGGCCAGGTGAGAGGCAATACTAGAGAACATGGCCAGGTGAGAGACAATACTAGAGAACATGGCCAGGTGAGAGACAATACTAGAGAACATGGCCAGGTGAGAGACAATACTAGAGAACATGGCCAGGTGAGAGGCAATAGTAGTCAACATCGATGTAAGACGTTGTTTATGTTACAGCTGGAGGGAGCCGTGAAGCTGGTGGGGTCTGGCTGTCCTGCCCGGTACACACTGCTGGGTGGCACCTGCCTCCTCCCCCTGCACGACGTCTCTGCCTCCTGGGAAGAGTCACGAGACCTGTGTAGGGACGCTGGCGGTCACCTCGCTACCATACCTAATAACAAGATCCTCAGCCACCTCCAGGCCCAGAGCGCCGCACCCCTGCCCTCATACTGGCTGGGCGGACGGAAGGTGGCTGGCGCGTGGGAGTGGATTACTGGAACCCCGGTGGAGGTGCAGTTGAGCGAGTATAATCGTGTAGAAGTTGAGGACGAGGAAAGTGACTTGACATCTCCACAGTGTTTGATGTCACAGGGCGCCGGGTTGGCGATGGTGGCAGCGCCCTGCGACACTCCCCTACATGCCCTCTGTGAATATCGTCACGCCCTCTATCACTCTTACGTGTCTAACGACTCTAAAGGCACTTTACTGGATCTTGACATTCATCCTCTAAGCATAAACGAGGAGCAACCATATGAGGAGTACCGGTAAATTCACATGAATAAATGAGCCTAGTTACCCATCCAGTACAGTACATTCAACTCCACAACACTAGTTTCCGTGAAGAGGTGAGGTCATTAGTCACTGTTAGAGCCAAATACATCAAGCATTAGCTTAAATTCACCAAAAGAAAAGACGATAACACCGTGTAAATCTCTGCAATATGAACGGTTCAAATTGAAAGACACAAACAAGACACCACGGCTCTCTTTACCTGCCCTGCCCCCCCCCACACACACACTGCCCCGACCTCCCTCACCATGACATATCCTGAAACATTCCCCCCCCCCTTCCTTCACCCGTCTCCAGCAGCCACCATCACATAGCCGTCCCTCCATCACCAATACAGTATTTCCCTCCTCCCACAGACAAACCCGACACTACATAGTTAGGAACCTACCACACTTTCTGCAGCTGTACACTTATGCTTGTAGTTTACTAACACAATCAATGGCCCCCTTAGGCATAACTCAATAAGCTTCCCCAATGGTCGCTGTAATACTTTAGTGCTTCACAAAGCACAGAATACAAGAGGATACCCAATAAACTAGCCCCAGCCCCATGCCTGTCTGTAAGGAGGAAAATCTGACCCAAAAATTCATAAGAACATGAGGAGTCTGCAATAGGCCGGTTGGCCTGTGCATGGCAGCTCCTGTCGAGAGTTATTACCACTCTCTATCATCTATGAATCTATCCAGCCTCCTTTTGAAACTTTCCAGCGTTCCAGCACTTACTACAAAGTTGCTAAGCTTGTTCCACTCGTCCACCACCCTATTTGTGAACCAGTTCCTTCCTATCTCCCTCCTAAACCTAAACTTATCCAACTTAAATCCGTTGCTCCGAGTCCTATCCTGCTCGGATATTATAAGAACTTTATCTATATCCCTTTTATTGATTCCTTTCACCCACTTAAATACTTCTATCATATCTCCTCTTCGTCGTTCTAGGGAATGCAAGTTTAGTTTCTTTAACCTATCCTGATATAGAAGGTTTCTAAGTCCCGGAATCATTTTCGTCATTCTTCGCTGCACCGACTCTAGTGAATTGATATCCATTCTATAATAAGGGCACCAGAACTGAACCGCATAATCGAGGTGCGACCTGACTAGCGCAACATATAGTTGCAATAAGACCTCTGCACTCTTATTACTTACACTTCTAGATATAAAACCCAATACTCTGTTTGCCTTATTTCGAACATTAACGCACTGTTTTCTAGGTTGACGTTGTTAAGGCTGTATACATTGACAGTATTTGTTCTTCCAATATTAAGTACGCCGCACTTGCTGGTGTTGAATTTCATTTGCCATTTTTCAGACCACCCCTGCAGTTTATTTAGATCCTCCTGTAATACATTTGCATCCTGCCCTGAATTAATCTGCCGCCCTATTTTGGTGTCATCCGCAAACTTGCTTATGTCACTGCTGATCCCAGTATCTAGATCGTTTATGTAGATTATGAACAAGAGTGGGCCTAGTACTGACCCCTGGGGAACCCCACTGGTTACACGGCCCCACTCAGATTTAACACCACCTACGCTGACCCTCTGCGTTCTTTCGGTGAGCCATGATTTTATCCAATTTAAAACTTTCCCCTCGATACCATGAAACTTAATTTTTCTTAGACGCCTCTGATGCGGTACTCTGTCAAATGCTTTGCTAAAGTCTAAGTAAATAACATCGTAATTTTCGTCGTTATCTACTACTTCGAAGACTTGCCTAAAAAACGTCAGCAGATTTGTTAGACAAGATTTTCCCTTTGTAAACCCATGTCGAGAGTCAGATTAATTTGCTTTTCTCTAAATACGATTGGATGCTATCTGCTATAATTGATTCAAGAAATTTCCCCACTTCTGACGTCAAACTGACCGGCCGGTAATTTGACGCTGATGCTCTGTCTCCCTTTTTTAATATGGCTACTACATTTGCCTGTTTCCACAAGTCTGGCACAACTCCGGTGTCTAATGATTTTGTAAATAAATTTACGAGGGGTCCGCTAATCTGTTCCCTACACTATTCCTATGTCATGTTTAAGTTTTCTGGCCATCCACCTTGGCTCATTCTTATTTGACCTAATTTTTCAGTATGGTATATTCTGTTCTTGTGCTTTATGTAGTATACTAGTGAATATATTATAGTCATGATCAATTGTTGTGTCATCTATGACCTCACCCCTTTCTACTGGGGACTGACGTGACTGTTCCCAGGTGACCTCACCTAGGTACCTTCTTAACCCCTGATAATCCGCCAACCGAAAGTTTGGGACTCTGACCATATTGTCATTGTTTTTCGTTTCCCAATTTAGGGTGAACCTGATTTCTCTGTGATCACTGTTACCTAGTTCTTCCCCTACTGTGATATCTCTGATAATATTTTCTTTATTTGTTAATACTAGGTCTAATATATTGTCACCTCTAGTAGGTTCTGTAATTAGTTGTTTCAAAAAATTGTCCTGTACTGCGTCTAGGAAGTCTTCAGATTCATAGTCACCTACAATGTTGTCCCAGTCAATATTTCTGAAGTTGAAATCCCCCATAATGCACAGGTTGTTATATTTTGCTGCCCTACTCATTTCCTGCCATATGGGCTGAGCTGCTTCTTTCCTAAGACTTGGGGGCCTGTAAATCACTCCCATAATTAGTTTTTCTCTTCCTTCCGTGATTTCTACCCATACAGACTCGGTTCCTATTTCACCCTTTATTGAATCTATGGGTTCGTGGTTCAGGGGGGGGGGGGGAAGAGGTGAACGGACTTTAGTATAGTTGACTGTACATAGAAGCACCATTGTTTAGACTTGAGAGATGGTTCTGTGCAGCATAGCTTGAAATAAACATGACCAGCGGCTGTGTGCACATATTAAAAGGTACTCTAGGTTATAAGTTACAAGCACACAGTAATATAATGTTTTTATCTATTGATTCCTGCCATTCTTGTGTTAGTCAGTGTGGACAACAGTTTAGTAGCACAGCAGCAATGTTAATTATGTTTTTCATAACTTTACTCAAAATAATTATGTTATATAGTTGACTGACTTGTTCTGTACTTTCATCATGTGGAAAGCTAAGCATCTCCAGTACAGTACATTACAGTATATAGTATAGGTTTACATTGTCATTCATTTAATACCGAAACTCTTTGCCTGTAATAACGTTAACAGTAAGACATAACAGTTACTTTATTAACACCAACTAGTAGTTACAAATAAACCCACTAATCAAGGTGTAACATTTTATTGTCCCAGGTGTTGATGATAAACAACCAGAATGTGTTTTGAGACAAGTATCCCAACACAGCTGATGTTGGATGCCCTAAAACGTTACCGAAGGATTAATTCGAGTCTCAATACTTACAGAAATATCAAGAAGCCATCGGGAAATGACTCATGATAGCACTGGATTGAGTGACAATGGTTCAAAATTTTCAAGGTAAAAAAGCGGAACCTCCTTATTGCCACGCTCGTCCCACAGGGTCTCTTTAAACTAGTGTTGGAGAGTTTATGTGAAGTTAGGAAAACGAATTTGCATATCCTTAGAAAACAGCAGTTAAGTAAGCAATGGCCTCCACCACCTCGGTGAATTAAATTACCAACGTGGTTAATAGTACGGATCCGTATGGTAGGAGTCATTGGGTCACGACCAGATCTCGTTGTTGTCCCATGGTGGCCGAGACATTATGCTCATCACATTGTCTCTCACTCCAGGTAAAGTTAAGTTAAGTTTCTTGAGAATCTTTCAACTCTCGGCCACCACGAGAAACAACTTGACGAGATTTGGTCGTGACCCCAGTGACTGTACGGTTAGCCTGGGCAAATCGCTGCAAGGATCCGTATGATTAACGTCGGTCTAAAATTCTAAAAACTTTACCTTTGCTAATTCTTTAATTCCCTCCACATGTTGGGTCTGCCTAGGAGACGCCGCCATCATCCACGAACCACGTTAGAATGTAGTAGTTTTTCCCGCTACCTCGGGAATGTTAGCAATCTAACGTAAATATAATGTACAGACACCAACTACCAGGCCGACGAGAGGTGAAAAGGATAAAGTAAAATAATATAATAATCACTTTACTTACACAATAAAGTACCCGTTTTGTTTCTTCTTAACCTTCACAAAGACTAAAAAGTTTACAGTACAGTTAACCCTCACTTCACGCGGTCCCACATTCCGCGTTTCCACGTTTACGCGGTGCCTTGCCAGAACCTAATGTGCTCACATTACGCGGTACGTGAACCCCATTACGCGGAGAGTGTCCGGCTCCTCGCCTCTCCCTCCGCTTGGGCAAGCCGCGCGGTAAGGTTGCGCAGTGTGTGTCTTTGTTGCGTTATCACTGACGTCATATGACGTATCGGACTGTGATTGGCCATGCATCCCTACCCCCCTCTGCTGCTAGCTGTAATTGGCTTAAAGTATTATGACGTGTCCACCCGCGGGAGGGAGGGAGGGAGGAAAGACCATCCTTGACCTAGCCGTGCCAGTTTCATCCCTCCATGCCAGACCGTGTAAACGTGCATCCATTGTTCTCTAAAATGGCTTCCGCCGGACCACCACCCCCAGAGAGAAACCTTTCCTTACCTGGACCCAGCGGCACTAAGCCAAAGAAGACACGACGTTCCTTAAGCTACGAGGTGAAGTATACCATCATCCAAGAGTTGGAGAAAGGAACAAGGCAGGTTGATTTGGCGCGCCAGCATGGTGTGAATGAATCTACGATTCGAACAATAAAGAAGGATGCAGCCAAGATAAAGGAGCACATGAAGATCACAAAGTCTACAGGTGCTTCTATGATCAAGTATTTTCACAACCAGGTGCTTCTCAAGACAGAAAAATTACTTGCGAGGTACTTGGTGCGTCAGGCGCGACGGAACATGGCGGTCGACACGCGCTCTGTTAAGGACTACGCACGTGAACTGTACATCGCAGTGGCACGAAAAATGGGAATTACAGAGCCCAAACCCTTTAATGCTTCCTCTGGGTGGTTACAGAGGTTTAAGATCCGGAACAAGATTACCAATATAAACATTGGTGGTGAAGAAGCGAGTGCTGACCGTGCTGCTGGAGAGTATTTAACATCAAGGAAGCTGTGGACTTCTTGGTGGAGTCATGGGATCAGCTGTCTATTGCTACAATTCGTCACGCATGGAGACATGTGTTGCATGGAATACCAGGTGAGAGGAGGAGTCAATCTATGACTGGTGAGGTTCAGACTGTTGCAGTAGCAGTGGACCTTGCCAGAGAAGCTGCGCAGACTGTTACAGTTCCAGGCTTCTCCGAGACCACCAACGACGACATTCTGGAAGTGATCAGAGATCCTGAAGTGACTGCCGACGAGATGTTGGAAGAAGATCACGTCAGTGAAGAGGAGGAAGAAGGTGCGTCATTCTCCGAAGAACACAGTTTAACTCATAGTGATATTAAGGGTGCCATGGAGTGTGCAGAGAAAATGAAGTCCTTCCTTTCCCGCGACAATGACGATGACCGCTATGAAGTCTTCCATACCCGGCTGGTGCAGGCTATGGAGCCGTACATCACGGTGTATCAAGACAACATAAACACCAGCCGTCAAAAAAGCATAACCGAGTTCTTCGCCCGCAACCCACCACAGCCAGCCCAAGCCAGTGATAGTGACAGTGAAGATGACTTTGAGGGATTTGTCAGGGAAGCCCTGACAACTGTAAGTGACAGTGATGGTGATTCACCTAGTAATGGTGATTCACCTGAGGGCCAGTAATCTGCCCTCTGCCTCGGAACCAGCCTCCATCCCCGTATGCCGACCCATCTCTTCTACTAACGTAAGTGTTCCACATAACTTTTAGTTTTCCTAACCTAACCTTTATTTTTCCTATGTTAACCTTTATTTTTCCTAACCTAACCTCTTCTATATTACTTGTTTTTTCATACCATCATAAAGTTAAGATAAAATTTTTACTACAACATAGTTGTGTGTCGTCAAAAAGTGGAGTTTGGGGGTCGGCCCGGACTCTATTTCAATTAATCCCATATGTTATGTTATTCCCTTTACGCGTTCCTCACTTTCCGCGGGACCCTGCGGGTTACATTAACCGGGTAAAGTGAGGGTTAACTGTATACATAAATAAAAAATACCAATACAGGTCATACACAAGAATAAATAAATAAATAAATAAATTTAACCAAGACACAAAAATATGAACAATGACTCAAACACCATCACTTAACCATAAAGTTTGTCTACACCTCTGTTGGCATCCCACCAAATCCAGATGAAATACAACTGTCAATCATGGAGTAGACCAGCAGTTCGAGTATTTTGCTACGGCAGTTCAGAATAACGAACACAAAGTTTGTTCACCATAAGCACTGCTGGGACTTTCAGAAGTATACATATATTGTTCACATTTTTCATGGGTTCACAAACACATCTGTAGAATCACAATTGTACTGTCACAGACTGCTTACCTCTAGCTGTTACTCACTCCTAAGTACATTATACATTAATGAATACATGGAACACTTATTCTCTCTTTCTAGAATACCACCATCAGAGTCATAACAGTTCAAGGTTAGGTTAAGGCCTGATGTGATGCTACTGTCAGGCTCTATGGCTTGGAATAAATTCATCCTCCACCTTTATGATCCTGTGTAGGTACAGGAAGAAGCTGTCTGTCTTAAACCCAGGACACGGTAGTGAGAGATACACACACATTACTACTGTTTCGTCAACACCTCCAACTACTGCAGTATGAAAACTTGTATCTGTATCTCTTTCAAGTAAATAATAATTCCCAGATAAACCACAAGTCTTCCCCTAAAATTCACCTTCTGGAATTCTTCAAGTTTTAAGACCAACTACGGTACTGGTCTTGCTTAAAGCTGACTCTGTGGCTGGCAGGCTGCAAGTACAGTACTGGAGGAACCATTAACCCTACCTCCTAGTCCTTAACATGAAGTGTGTCGAGTCTGATCATCTACCTCAAGTGCACTACTCTTTGATCATCTACCAGACGTGTCATATCTGATCAGCTACCAAAAGTCCATTACTGTACTCTCTGATCAGCTACCAGAAGTGCATTACTCTGATCAGCTACCAGATGTGCATTACTCTGATCAGCGGGCGAGAACCATTCAGGTTGTAATAATGGCCAGCGCTGACTACTGTACAGGATCCTGAAGAAGAGGCTGTAGAAGGAGTTCCCGAGATCCCGGGTGACCGACGATACTGACGATGGGGTCAGTGGTAGCGTACTTCATGATGCCGGTGAACATCTTCGTCACCATCCATCCCACCTTCGTGCTGGCAAACCTGAAGGAAACATCGCACCCAACATAAGGGAGTTGTCTTCTTAAATCCATACACAGTTTATAAAAGTATATATGTCCGTGGTGAGACCTCTATTTTACAGACTATATAGAGAGGAAAGTCTGTTAGATGTGAAAGTCCTTTATATGGAGGTTTGACTGTATGTCTCTTACACAGTGGCACATGTTCAGATACAGTTAAGAACTTGTACAGTACATGCCCAGTACCTCCCTCCCCTTCCCTCTCACCTCTCCAGTGAGTCCTGCTTCTCCTGTCGGTTAATCTGCTCATCCCGGCCCCCTGGTGCTGCCTCCACCACCTGGCCTGCTGCTGTCGTGTTTGTTTGTGTCCTCGTCCTCCTGGCGGTCGTTCTCCTCCTTCTGAGATGAAAACATAAAACTAAAAATAAATAAATTCCTGAAAACTCTCTCTGTGAAACGGTCAACATGATGTCTGTCCGATTGTATGTTGTCAGTGTTTTTATATATCTAAATTTTGTTTATTTTATGTCATATCCATTCAAATAATTAATTCATCAGAAAGTGTCAAGGTGTGAGATAATAGAGAACATACTTTGCCAGATTCAGACGATCTATCCGTTCATCACACACAAAGGTGTTCTCCCCGGCGAGGCACGGCAGCGTAATCACCTGAAGAGAAAATATCGAACATGTACAGTCAATCAAAAAACTATCCTTACAAAATTGTATTAGACAACATGACACAACGGACGAAGGATTTTGGCAACCCAACTGAGACAACAGAAGGTGCGGTATTCATTCTGAAATTCATCGACCGCCGACCACTTTAGAATCCACTACAGTACCTGCTCTTAGCCTCTTCACTACTGGAAGTCATTTTTATTTTTCTTGACCAACACCTAATGATTTTATTCAGCACAGAGCAGCTCCTCTGTTCCACATGATGTACAGTACTGTAATGGATTCCATCAATTCAAATTCATCCAAATCCTTAATTTTTCAGCTCCAAGAATGGTCGAAGAGATGGCTGCTGAGATTCAATGTCACGAAGTGTAAGAGGATGCACCTGGGGCGTACCAACGGTAAGGAGGCGTTTCATATGTCCCAATGGAATGAAGAAACTGCACTATTTGAGACTGAATGTGAGAAGGACCTAGGTGTGTGTGTGTTGACAATGAGCTGAAGTTCTCGGGCCATTGTGAGAAGAAGGTAAATCGGGCAAATAAATTATTGGGTCTTATAAGAAGGTCGTTCAGATATCTAGACGGTCCGTCCCTCATAACGATCTTCAAGAGTGAAGTGCTGCCACATCTGGAGTACTGTCACCCCATCTGGTCCCCGTGATATGCTAGGGACTGTCAGTTGGTTGAAAATGTTCAAAGGAGGGCCACCAGACTGGTGCCTGCACTTCGGCACACCAACTACCCTGAGAGATTGGAGTGCCTGAAATTGCCTAGCTTATACTACAGACAGGCAAGGGGCGACCTAGTTGAGGTGTATAAGCATCTCAGGGGGCACTACTGAGTCGAGTGTCCTTACTTGGAGCTGGCGGACGCTCGCCCCACAAGGGGTCACAGCTCAAGATTGAAGAAGCCGCAGGTCCAGAAAGCTGTGAGGGCAAACTTTTTCAGATTGAGAGTTGTGAATTCTTGGAACAATCTACCAGAATGTGTTGTGACGGCACCGAGTGTGAGCTCTTTCAAGACCAGACTTGACCAACGCTGGAGCAGGTTCAGGTACATTCAGGAGCCAGTGCATGCCCAGTACTTGCCAACAGTGCGTAACAGAGACGTGACCAATTGTCCAAGCGGCTAACGAGCCGATCCGTAGTAAAGAGGATAAAACAAAAGTTAAAGACTCAAGTGTTCATAACTTGAGTCTACAAAGGTGGATCATGTATGGTGTACTAAGGAATACACAGTGATATGATTAGGGCATAGAGGGTGATTTATGGAATATAGTGTAAGACTGTATAGTAGCCAGAGGGGCGACTACATACAGTAATAAAATACCCGAGTTTCAAGCAGTTCCAGACAATGAGTGGAGATAAAGCCTCCTTACATACTGCATAGCACTTCACCTGACCACCGATAGATGGTTGAATAAGCAATAAACACATCAAGTTGCCAGGTACAGTAACAAAACTCAAAGCAGTAACAATTCTTCCTTCCTTACTTAACCCATTGCCTCACTCTTGGTATCTCAACCTTCCACAGAAAGAGGGGACAACTGACCTCCCCCTACATTAAAAAATAAATAAATATATAAAAATGTGCACTCGGCATATTCCTAGAGTCAAAGTAAACACAGTAACAGGAACACTAACGGCAACAACAAGGACAATAACAGCAGTACCTGGGTCGGGGAAGTGTTGTTGTAGAACTCATAGAGGTGGATGGGCAGCGGGGGATGGTTGTTCTTTCTCAGGAGGTAGTCCACATAGCGCACCACACGGTCGATCTGATGATAATCACCACCACTACCTTGTGAATCATGTTACTCAAACTTTTTTTTTATTTAATGGATGTCAGTTCTGGTTAACTGTTTGTGACAGAAATCCAGAGAGTAGTTAAGATAATTGAGATAAAAAACACTACACTTAAACTGATGCAGTGAGTAATATAAATACTTTCATTTTATCAGGAGTCGCACACTCTGGATGGTCAAACTAATGTCAAGTTAAGAGGGGTGAATAATATTTATTTTACTCTAAGCTTAAAGTTAAAATATGGAAAATGTATCAAGATAAACATGATAGCATAAATGTAAGTCAAGCATGAGACAGTGACAAGAGTAAGTGAGGGAGGAGAGTGATGTGCGGTACCTTGTCTCGGTTTGTGATGCTGAAGATCTCCAGGTTATCAGGGATGAACTCCTCCCTCCTCTTGAAGGTCAGTTCCTCGTGTTTCTTGGGGGTTACAGGGCATATGTCAGGGTCACATATTATAGTACTAACATCTTACTATGAGGTTCAGTCACTCAAAAAATTTTCTATACAAAATTGTGGTGAAAAAATATGACAACGGACTTTGACAACCCTACCGAGACAAGAGGAGTCACAGTATTCATTATGTAACTCATCGATCACCCTAAACACACACGGGCAGCATCATCAACAAGGCTAAAGCAAAATATTTAAGTTCTGGCTGACTGACTATGTTACCTGAAGGCACTGGAGTCTCCCGAGCTCACGGGGGAGGCCAAAGAAGTCGAGGACGCTGGAGAGGGGCGTCATGAGGTCCTCCAGCAGGTGTTCATAGTGTAGCACCTGCAGTGACTTAGCCTCAGTTATCCAGTTGGTGGCCATCTCTAGCCAAGATCTGGCTTGTAAGTGAACGAATGCACTCCAATCTGTGGTACAGTAAAACCTCTATTTAACAGACTACAGGGAGAGGAAAGTTCCTTTATATAGAGGGTATATTAGATGTGAAACCCCCCCAACTAACGAAACTACATAAAGATGAAAGTCCATTATATCAAGGGTCCGCTAGATGTGAAACCTCCAACTAACAGATTATATGGAGTGAGAAGTTCCTTATATGAAGGTTTACTTTAATATTTTTTCTATATTAATTTATCATTTCACCACTTATCTATAAATTATAATATGTGGATATATCTAAAAACAATGAAACAAACCAACTCTCCGGCTCACAAAGAAATCATGGTGGACTGAGGCTGTTCCTTAAGAGATTTAAAACAAAAAATCGTACAAGTGAAATTATGCAAAATGTATTCCTCTTGTATTTATTTGTATGTTTCTCAAGGGAAGAAAATTTGTATGTTCTAGGGAGAAATGTCCTAAAGTTAGTGCCAAGGCTGGACTACAGTATGGCACTCTCATCAAACATTACCTATAATACTCTCCAATACACTCAGGATCAACACCATCGACTGAATACCGACAAAATTATCCTAGTAATATGTTCTTCTCAAAGAATATTAGGCAAGTTTTCTTCATTTAATAGTATCAGTGATTTTGTAGAAGCCTTATATGATAATTCAAAGGAATTCTTTCTCTGTAATGTAGTGTACCGTTGCTACATACAACTCATGATGGCCAGACCTTGACAGTGAAATAAACAAGAAGCCACACCTTTCCTCCGGTAGTTAGAGATGGGAGCATAGCCTATGTGGCCACCGAAGAGGAAGTTGTGGTAGGAGAGTATGGCACGGTAAGGGTTCCTCAGCAGCAGGACGCCCGTGCCGTTGAAGGCTTTGATGAGGTCGGGATTACATTCATGTGTCTTCTGCGTGAGGGTCGTCCCAGAAGCCCACGGATCCAACTCCCCATAAAACCCTGCAACATACACCTTACTTAAACAACCTGACAGACTGGTGTAATTGACAGGAATAAAATAAATATAAAAATGTAGTTTGAATTGTTTAAAAGCTCTAATTGGCCAGTTACAGTCCACCAAGTTATTAATTCGGTGGCATATGACCTCAGCTGTTGCGTCGCCAGGTATGTAATTACCACAAACAATCAAAGATTTAAACACAATACCTGTATATGTGTAATAAATAATTCGGTACACATTAAAAAAATTATCCAAATCTCATTACTAATTTATCAAAACCGGGTATTATCTGTAACTAACTTAATAAAAAATTAACACATCGGTAAATTATTAACTCTCGATAAAATCATAATACTGTATGATAGTTGTGGTGCATATGGTGGGCTAGTCCATCCATGTGTGTGCCAGTGTACCTGCCGAGTAAAAGCAACTTAACTTAATAAAGGATAAGTTATAGATCAAGGGGACATATCAGGGACTTAAATTTAATAAATAATGTACCGTACAGTAGTATTTTAGGAGCCTGTGTATGAGAATAAATTACATATTGATAGTGTGTCTGGTGATCCTACCAAACGGTTATGATGGCACACAACCAAGCTTATTACTGAGGGAAGCACCTAAAGTAAGAGGCCCTGACCGTTCATATAAAGAAGGTGGTCTCGGTAGGTGGAGCCGGTGAAGACACCAGAGGCTGCCTGCAGCAGGTGTCTGGTCCAGGTGTTGCCTGAACCGGGGTAGGAGGCCAAAGCACAGGTGGGCAGAGAACCTTCCAGCCCAAACATGACTTTCAGCTGGCCACATTCCCCACCATCACCACCCCATAACCGCATCCACCTCCTGTAGGGGTCCAGCCGCAGCCGCCGTCTGGAAGGATAATGTGGTGAGGTGAATTGGCAGTGAGGGAACACACAAGCAGATCTATAGACCATTATATATATGACACCAACAACTGCCAAGCAATATATCATTTCAGTAGCAAAGATCAAATGACGGATAATTAGCTTACTGGGGATACATTACATCACTACTCTATGTACAAACAAAAATACCAATTAACTCTTTAACAACTCCCGCCAGACCACTTTAACTCCCACCGTTTCACGACTGGTTTTCAATTATCAATCACCATCATTCTATTAATTTATCATTATATCTACCATTATCATCATTATTACAAAAGGAGACATTGTTAACATACATATATTGTGAACACTAGTCGATTCAACCAAGGGAACCACAAAAGACTTAAATGTTTATTTCCATTGAGATTTATATTATTGGTTATTATTTGGGAGTAAATCGGGTACAAGGAAGAACTAATGTATCCGTTTACCCATATCCTCGTACTCTGCCACAGTAAGAAACAATGACAGCATCCTCAGTGCCAAGACCTGCCTCAACTACTTAGAATAATCAAAACAATTCTTCATTCTTGTAAAAAAAAATGTGTACAATTAGGGCTGTTTGTTCAGGGTAGGCAGGTGATAATTGCCAATGTGAACAACTTTCGTATCGAATTTGTGTGGATTCCGTCCCATGTTGGAATCAGGTATCATGACCGTGCTGATAAACTGGCCAATGAGGCATGTAAGAAAGAAAACGTTGACAGTGACCTTGGCTTGTCCAATGCTGTAATTAAAAACATTCAAGCAGAATCATGAACTCTGATCTAGAAGAAGTGAGAAATGCAGAGAGCCCTGGCAGTTGTAGCATTAGTAAATATGAAAAATTTTGTGACAAGAGTTACCGGTATGGCCAGCATAAGGAGAGAACCAGACAATGTGATGTAACTACTACATTGAATCAGGGGTGCTTGAGGACATTCTTGCTGTTTATCCCAAATTTGCTAGCCCACACTCATTACTGATTAGTCTTCAATTAGAATATGACTCCAATGTACAGTATGTGAACCACTGACCTATATATCCAATGTACAGTATGTGAACCACTGACCTATATATACTGCTAATGAATATGATGTATTTCCTTCTTTGTGTGTGAACCTCTGTCCTGCGTGACAGTGAGAAGTGATACCACCCTCAGTGTCAAGACCTGACTGAATTACTCAGAATAGGCAAACTGTACTACAAGCTTTGCCAATAAATTTGCTAAACTAAAAAAAGTGTAGGCAGGGTAAACATAAGGGTGAGGGACGGTGGGTAGATGTTGGAATGTAGGTCGCGGCTAACCAATACATCATCCACCTTGTGTATTATTCATTAAGAGGTAACCCCGCTCGTCAACGGATCTCGTGCATTACCCAAATATACACGCACTAGTGAGATTACAATCGTATTCCATTTGTTTTTTCATTAAACAATCGTGTCAGAACTAATCTTTGTATTACCTAAGAAAGCTCAAACTGAAATGAAGAAGAAACTTGTTACTGTAATTTTGACTGACGTTATTAAGTTCATTCACACAAAAACTAATTAACCTAATCGCCGACAATCTCATGATCCCGTTACCCAAGTGCACGGGGGCCCAAACTGTCGTACTGCTCACCATGCCTCCGTATTTCCCGAGTTGAATGTTTAATCGAACGGACACGAAATTGGCGGCATGATGTTTGCATAGACTCCTTATTTTCCACACGTTTACCTAACCTACTTTGTAGTATCATGTACAAGATGCTTATAAACAGTTGCTTTAGCTCCAACACTCCTTTTTTTACCCCAAATTCCACTGGGTGGCTGCTGCCGGAGGAACTAACCTCCATTAGTGACCAGCGACGTTGATATCATCTCGGGACCACAGGATAAGATACATTGTACGAGAATGGTAATGAATACAAACCAAAAATGAGTAATCAACACTTTTTAAATATATCTTTCCATTCAGTTTGTTTTACGAGGTCAACTTGTGCTAAGACAGCCTTGATAGTATACATGCTCCCCCTGACCTTAATGTAACCTCAGGTGGTCATAGGCTTGGATGATACCTCAAGACCTAGTCCATGGTTAATCTTTAGGTGAAATAAGCTGGAGTGGAGATTCTTCAGGTGCTCCCAGATATGTAGTATCCCCAGAGCATAACAGCAACAGTATTTTAGAAAAAAATATAAACCATTGTACTATGCGTTTTACCGAGTATAAATGACAATAGAATTATATTATTGCCCTCTATAGCCACCTCGGAAGCGATACTGATCACGCGGATTCCCACACAATAATTTAAGAAAATCTATATGGTATTTATAAGAACAGGAAACGCACAATAATTTAAAACAATAGTGTGCCAATTAATAATTTCTGGTGCCTAATAATAACAGAGACCGTAAACATTACACCTAACAGTACCTTGTCCTCATCTCCATGTAGACGAGTATGGAGCACAGTTTGGTACTCATAATGGAGGAGATAAAAGGAAATAATCACCATAAGGTGAATTTTCTGAAGCGAGAAGTCACAACCAATTTCGCCGTAAAGACAACTGATAATACAACTCCCTGACGTTTGTAGCCTGCCATGTACGACGCCTAACTGTAAGGTTTCTTTTATAGCTGTGGTAAATGAGCGTAACTTGTCGCGTTCGTGCACCTGCCTAGGAATGAGTTCCACTGGCGTCTGGTGGTGGGAAAGCTGGGAGTTGGTTTCAAATGCTCGCTCAGGCACTGTTAACATGGGTGCCTATCTTCTCGAGCAGTGTGTTTCCTCCCACCTGACAAATCTACTCCCCAGATCTTGCCTTTGTGTAGTAATAATATTAATAACAGTAACAATAATAATATAGTAATGATGATAATACAGTAATAATAGTAATGATAATAAGACAGTAATAATAGTAATACAATAATAAGAGTAATAATATATTAATAATGGTAACAATACAGTAATAATAATACAGAAATAAGAGTAATAATAATAAAAATAATAGTACGTAATAATAATATACCCGAAACAAAAAACATTAAAGATAAACAAGAACAATTGTGCTTGGAGTGTGATTGTCTGCAACACTGATACCAGCCTAGACTTGTAATACGTCTTGGCGAGTCCTCAGACAGTTTAGTTGCAATTTGTGGTTATTCAACTAATTTATGTTCCCGGATAAGCTCTCTTCGTTTACCTCCTACGTGAGTGTAATTCTCCCTTACATGCAGACGGAGAAAGCGACAGAAAGGCATAGAGAGATTTGCACCACCTTTTTCTTTGTCTTTTCTTGTTCCCCTCTTTCTTTGCCACTTTCATCCTCTCATTTTTAATTTATTCGGATCACCTGCCCGAAGAATCTTCACTCTAGTTTATTTTACGTAAAGGTTAATCTTCCTAACGCTACTTGGGGGGGATGAGGTGACAGGTGAGGTGAGTTTAAGTTTAATCTTTACACGAAATAAACTAGGATGAAATTCTTCAGGTAATCCCTTTATTCTCTTTCTCCTATCACGTTTTTCTCCGAGTCCGTCTCACACACACACACATACCGTACCTACCTCAGTGGCCACAGATGGCTAATAAACGAGACGCTCGCCATACCTTCTAACCACCGACCCTCCTGACACACACTACAGGACGGAGCTGGGGCGGGGGATGGGAGAGATGTGACGGAAAAGGGAGAGAGAGGAAGAATGAGAGAATACACAGTAGAGAAGAGAGAGTAGTAGAGACGAGTTATGATTATAAAGGCTAGAGAAAAGATTGTATGAGCGAGGAAGAAGCATGTGTGAGTGACCTCCTCCCCTTGCTTACAAATATGACGACACCAACCTCCTGCTAAATCCTCAGGGGGGGAGGGGGGTTCAGATTCGCCCCACGTAGCTGAGGGGTGAGGGGGATAACCGCTAGTGGACAGACGGGCCGGGGGTTGACGGTCTCTTCCGCTTGACCTAAAGTTCAGCGGGTCATCAAGAGGCGTTTTCTATTTGTCAAAAATATTACGTGCGCCACCAACATGTACAGTAATTCCACCCTGAGTTATTGGCGCCCGTGTCTGTTATTATTCTATCACTCCTTACAAATTTACCTCTCAAATTCATGATGGATTCTAAGTACTCATATCCTGGTTGTCTAACTCTTAAAATAAACACAAGGTTTATTTTCGCCCATTCGTGTCAGCCTAGCCGTTCTACAATATAATGCATGGTGGCCGGGATCAGGGGGAAAGGCGTAATGATTTAACCCTTTAAATGAGAATGGTGGCTTAGCTACGGTCACCTCCAAGACCGTCAAGCATAATAAAACCCCGCCAGCCCCTCCCTTCTCCACCCCCACCAACAAAACACAGGACACTTACTGTTGTCGGTGTGGCGAGTCTGTGCTATTGCTGTTAATCGTTTTGTTGCTGCTCCTGTGGATCTTACTGTTGCTATATTTACTGCTTTTATTTCTGGTGTTGTCGTTACTATTTTTATTACTGTCACTATCATTACCACTGTTTCCGCCGTCAGCACTTTCCGTTTCCCTCGTAAAGGTTTCTACAAAAGGACCACTTCCCACGTTATCTGCACCGGACCTCCCACCCCAGCCTCCGTCACCCAGCTCTTCATAACCTATACCCCCATTACCCAGGAAGAATGCGGGGGTGGGGCGGAGGTAAGGAGACAGAGGGGTAGATAGGTTGTAGGCCCACACTCCCAGCATCACCACAACACACAGCAGGGTGGAAGTCGTGTATTTCCGAATGATTCTGGCGTAAGTTCGTGCCACTGCCATCGTCGGGGACACTGTGTGCTTGTGGATAACCCCGTTTAAGGACTATCCTCGTATGAAAGTTTGTTGACAAGAAAGGTGAAAACTTGCCATTTCTAGACTCCACCACCATGAAGGCAGACTGAAGACGAGAGATATCGGTGTCCCAGAATACAATGAAGCTTGCATGAATGGGTGTTCTCTGTTCCTGGGGGTGAGAACAGCCCAGGAGAGTCGTGTCTGTGCCCAGGTGTGAGGCGGAGCAGGTAAGCTGGGTGAGGTGACTAGGTGTCATCTCCTCCCACCACCCATGGTATCAGCTGCTGGGAGACGTTGCTGGCTCCACTCTTCCTTGATACAACCCTGAAAAATAAATATATATCTATCTGAGCATAAACGTGTCTTTTACAATATTAAATTACGTATATAAAATAGACTGATCGGAGTCATGTGTAAATAGGCTGGAGCTGCCCAGAGGACGCGCTCACCACTACCCCACCCACCCACTTCAGTAACCAAATTGGTACGAACTAGGATGAACTATCACACAAGAAAAAAATATACCATCGAACGATTTTTTACAGGCGACAAAGACACCAAATCCCAGTACCTCAAAGTTTCCCCGAGTTATGTTTGGTGGAGTGTCATCTCGGCTCTGGCTCCTGGCACAGTGAACACAGACAGTCTGGCAGATGACGGCCGGCGCTTGAGGTGTCCTGCCTCACCAGCCCCTCCTCTTGTTACGTTGTTTGTGATGCCAATACTTTTACCTTATGCAAATTTTGGCGAACAAATTTGTGTATTATGGGAGTCCGGATCTGAAGTACTTGCATATGTAAGAACGTGTATTTAATCTGTTCCGTGTAAATGACCACCGTCTCTTCCCTCCTGCCGACATTACTTACCAAGCTTTGAGCCCCCAGCTGTCTCTGTCACTTATCTCGAGCTAGTATGTGTAATTACGATTTATTGGTATAATTACCCTATTATCATATACTATATCTCCGTAACTGACAGAAATCATAGTTATTTTGTCATTCTTGCTCGAGTTTCACCTCGTTCTCCTGCATTCTTTTCCCTGTTCTTTGTGTAATATCGGGATCTTTCTTTAGTTAACACCGTGCCAAAGATATCACCAAGATGACTTTCGTTCTCCAGTAATGAAAAACATGAGTATAATAACCTAGCATAACCAGGTGACGGCGTACAAATACATCTACAATCTAGGTTTTATTATTTATACCTGCCTATAAATTTATATAGTTCCTCGTATTGTCGTAATTATTCATTTAAGCGGCGGTGTAGTCATCAATAATTACCTTCTAGTTATGGATGAAGAAAGCACACTGATGGATAAAGGTCCAAATTTCCTACGTTCACACAGAATAAGTTAAGATTATCTGGGTGTGATTTTTATGCTATTTTTAGAATTAATTTTTTTGTGTATTAGCTCACGTCAACCAGTTAGAGGCATAAATGTACCCTCACTTGCAAGAAACGTGAAGCAAATAGAAATGATCTGGACGCTTTAAATTTTAGTTGTGGATCCAATTTCAATATCAACATTCACAAGACTTGTAAAATACTATAAATGACCATAAATTAATAACAAATCTGCACTACCTATTCTATAAAGGTCTGGAATGCCCTTTATGACATTATATCAAAGTGAATCGAGTTTACTTACGCTTCTTCAGATAATTTGGAACAATGACATTACTTGACAATCTACACTACTGTTTATGTATTTCGTAAAACTTAATAGTATCTAAAACAACTGTGGTGCTTCATAACTTTAGCAATATCAAAAAACAATCCCAGAAAGTCACTCACTGTTTAACAATGAAAATGAAATTAATATACAATGGTCTATGATACATGTAGAATAAGTAGTTTAGTATAGGTTTACAGATTACTACTATAATAATACTGTAATAATGCAAGTTAAGACACCTACTAGTATTACCTCACAGCACAACCACAAGTACTAGACTGACACGAGTTAACAGGACGAGTCTGGATGGTGGGTCCTGCTGTCGTGGCTGCCAGACGAACGATTAACATGATCCCTTCAGCTTACTGTTTATGGGTACTGTTCATTGATATTATTCCAGCCATTTTTTTTTAACTTTAAACAGCACCACAATTAAACTAACTTGAGAATCGTATCTTTAAATGTAAAGATAAGAACATGCTTCTTCATCTTTATACCGATCTCTAACATGGATTAATGCATATTGGTATGGAAGACAAGCAGTTTTATTTGGCTTTGATAGACAATTTGACATAGTAAATAATTTCATTGTGTGCTAATGACCTCTGAGGTATAATTCTTTTTTTAAAAACCTCACTGAAATATTTTAGTCCATATCCCCACCATCACCCTTAAATAATAAATGATTTTCTTTGGCTATCCTTAATTGAAGTGAATTAAATCTTACCATTTTTTGTATTATTAGATGGTATTAATATGAAGTTTGATTAGGATTTTATTAAAGTAATAGTGGTCTTATCTAACACCTAGTTTAGGCTCGTAGTCACATAGATGTTTACAAACTGACCATGGCGGGCTACGAGGGCCTGTGTGACAAGTCGTCGGGGAGATTTGGTGATGTGTCTGGCAGGAGGTCGAGTTCACCCTTAAAAGACATTGAATTCCTGCGAGAAGTGAAGAGGGACCTGATAGTGGCCAGGGAACAGTGTTATCAACGGGGACTCCTGCAGACGACCAAGTGGTGAGTCAGGTGGTGGTTTATGTTTATGTGAGATTTCTTAACTATTTTTGGTCCTAATTGGTCTCTGTAGTGGTCCATAGTTTGTTCAGGGGTTAATATTGATAGATACCGCAGTAACACGCCCACTTGTAACACTAAAACATCTTAAGTGCCATAAAATATGCTTTTAATGTTAATTTTTTTGGTATAAACAGTGATTATAAGCCAATAGTAAACATAAAATGAAATACTAGCAGTACATTACAGTAAATATTTAATACTTACAACATCTATAATAATTACTATACGTAGTGATATATTATAACTAAAGAATTACATAAACTCTTGGAAATATGGAAGCAACTACTGTTCAATTTCGTTCATTTTTTCCAGATATGTTCTTATCATTATAGTACCGGGTAAAGTATTTTAAAAAACGTGACAACTTTTTAATTTAATTATAAGTATTTTTGTTTGTTTTCTCTATCTAATCACCTGTAGTGGGCAGGGCATGAAGGATGAGTAAAACACGGCGAAAAACTGATCATATGACACTAAAATAATGTCAATGTGATTTGTACGTGAAGAAATTAATTATTTACCGTAAATGCGCCTCAGAAAAATCTGCCGAGTCAGCGTGTGTTATCGTCTCCTCTATTTGTTTACAACTGACCCACTCGGTCCGAGCATAAGAAGTTAGGTAGGGTTATTGAGTTGGTTAGGTCATGTTCTAGTAAATGTCGCCTCTTTTAAAATACATACTATAAGTATATGTGTGGAAAAAATTAATGAAATAGAACACTGCCTTCTGGTGTTAGCCATCTCCTGCAATATTACCCAAATATAAAATACTGTACTGTACTAACAGACACAGCTAAAGAGTACGGTAGATTTCACAAAGCTAAAAATGTATCCAACTGTTTTTATGTTGACCCGGCTATAGTACAGTGGTGCAGGGCCTTGGGACTTAGTGATGAACATTGGTGACACATTAAATATCTCCTTACTTGTGCCTCAGGTTGAGTGAACTTCTAGTGTGTGTGCGTGATGTTCAGCTTGAGGAGCAGTTGCCATCACTCCTGTCTCTCCACGACCTGCTGGGGGACGAACTCGACCATTACCACTTGGCCAAATCCTACCTGGACCTTAAGGAGTATGACAGGTACACACAGCACTAAGGTTTACTCTGCATTAGGCAGTTGTATAAGAGATTTTGACTAATTCTTATGGCTGTTGTAATTATTACAGGGTGCGTTATTTTGACGGGAATCCTAAATGTGTAAGTACTGTATTTGAATTTAGGATGTTCTAAGACTATGGGAGTTTGGACTGTAGGTCTTTACTGCTGCACTTTGGACCCTTTTGGTTACTGTGCTATATTGATGCAGTTTAAAACTAGTTTTCTTGAGACACTTCATAAACCTTTTTCCACCGTGGTGGGCACGGTTCCACTAATTAGTGAAGCTAACTTTCTCGTTAGCGGATTAGCGTTTTCGCTAACTTTGGAAACCATTAGCGGACCAATTAGCTTCCGCTAAATTTAGTTCCACTAACTTTAAGTCCGCTAACAAAATTTATACATGTTTGTTCCTGTCTGATGTAAGCGTGTGACGCCGCGACGCGTGTCTCCAACAGCCAGTCAGGCACGCTTGGCTGACTGCGTGTTAGTACATGTAAACGTGACAAGACTTGATTTGTCGACGCCAATTATTAAAGTTTAATGCTTTTTTTTTTACAGTAAATAAAGACTGTCAGTGTATGTTGAAAGAATCATAGAATGTAATTGTAAACTAATGTATAATTTCATTTCTCATTTATTTGTTAATTTAATTAGGATTTTTTGTGTCAATATATTTGGTTATGCTAAGTACTGCATAAGTTCATAACCAGGATGTCATCCAAGGTGTGCGCCAAACAAAATTTTCTAAAAACTTACTTTTCATTAAAGTTTAGAGTTTTCTGTTTATTTACATGACTAAAACCAACAATAAGTTATATAAAAATGCACTGGTATAATGTGTATGTGGTTGGTATTGCATATTTACATGAATAACGAATAAGGCCGATAGGTTGTATGAGAATGCAAATTAATTATTTGTGAAATTGTATACAGTGTACACCTTGATAAGTTGATCATCATCTGATCTTGGCATGATGCTATACAGTACTGTACTATAGTTTTTGGATTCGTTTAATACTTTTTGTCTTTTCGTACAGTAAATATAGATTATAAAATGTATGTTGAAACTTGAATGTAAACTAATGTTTAATTTCATTTGTTCATTTAATTATTTGTGTACACCTTGATCATCATCTGATCTTGGCATGCTATACCTTTTTGGAAAGCTATGTCTAAGCTACAAGACAACATATGAAATTTCAGCTCTCTAGGTCTGTTTTTATGGGTTTTAGAGCCAAAAAACAAACAAACCGAAGCTAAATTCATATAATAAAAGTTAGCAGTTAGCGTTAGCTTCCGCTAATTCTTTTAGCTGTTTAGCGTTAACGAAGTTAACTTTTTAGTTAGCAGATTAGCGGAGCTAACTTTTCGTTTAGCTGTACCCACCACTGTTTTTCCATCAGGTTAAGCTAAGAGTGAAGATGCGGTGAGCAAATATATTTTTAATAATGAGTCGAGAGCATTATGGTCTTTTATTAATATACTTTTATGGCATGAAAACTACAGTAATGATACTCTAAGACATATTATTTTCATCGTATAAAATGTACTGTTCACTACACTACAGTTTATTACTTTTGGTTGTGTGACAGATGTGCTTACTTCACTGAACACTGCACCACAGACCTTGGACGATTTCTCCACCTGTACTCCAGGTACCTCTCTGGGGAGAAGAAAAAGAACGATGATATTGTGGACACACTGGGTAGGTTTAGTCGAGTCACCCTGAAGATAAAATTTGTTTCTAATATCATTATGATGTTTTAGTGTGTGTATATTAGGAAGAATTTTGTATCATTCCAAATATATATATGGTACTTACTTCAGGCTCAGTATCTAACATTATTGGTATATTTTTGTTGGTGTTTCTCCTATGGATGACGAGTATAAATTACAACAGTTTATTTTTCACTGACAGTCACCAATGATCAGCACAAGGGCATCTACCTGAAGGAGTTACACACAGAGCTCTCCAAGGTGTACACACTCCACTCAACTGGGTCTACCTCCAGGTCAGTAGTGTCATCATGGACTCAGCTTGGATTGACTTTACATTTATCTCTTTTATTGTGATGATTGTATTTACCCATAACCTATCCAGGCATTGAGCCGGATAAAGAGGGAGAAGGAATAAGTAAGAATGAGGGAGTTAAAGGGACAAAGAGAGAGATGGAGCATTTATTGGGAGTAAGCAAGTTTAGTGATTCATTCTCAAGTTTTATGATCTTATTCTATTTCTTAAGGTATCAAAATATTTCACTGTAGTTATCCCACCTATGTCGGTATACTGTAAAACCTCCGAACACCAGACTCATTCATTAATGGGAGGGCCCCCCCCCCCCATCACCATCAATGTTTTATGGCTCCTGAGCTAGCTTCAACGCCCCCTCCTACACTGATCATGTCACCCCTTCACTTCTTTGTAGAGACCCGGGAGACACTGATATGGATGCCTGGCTCCTGTGGCTGTATGGAGTAGTGCTGAAACGACTTGACCTCACTCGACAGGCTGTGGAGGTGTTGTGTCAAGCCTTGCACCTGCAGCCCTTACACTGGGGTGCATGGCTGGAACTAGCAGCTCTCATCTCTGACAGAGAAATGGTCAGTGTTACATACATTACTGAAAATTTATTCTATGCTTGCTAGTACGGTAAAACCTCCGTATAATGTACTTCTCTCTCCATATAAATTCATTAGACAGAGGTTACAGATATACAGTACTCCACTCTAAAATTTCTCCACAGCTCAGCACACTAAAACTACCGGACCACTGGATGCGCAAGTTGTTCCATGCTCACACGTACCTGGAGCTGCAGCTAAATGATGAAGCCCTAGAGATCTATACTGGCTTACAAGATGCTGGTCTCTTGCATTCAACATACATCATGGCCCAAGTTGCTATCACACACCACAACCAGAGAGGTAATAACAGGCATTATCTATATATTAGTATTTACTGTTGATACATGTTATGGTGTCATTGAGAGTGTTAGAGGTATAGTATAGTACATGTAGTTCACCTGATAATATAGTGTGAATGCTTTTGTTTTGCACGATAAAGCTTGACTGTCTACCATGTAACTAGCTACATCATTTTGGAAATTGTCTACAATAAATAGTAGATTTGTATAAAGGGTTGTGTATGCAGTGAACAAGGGGAATATTCCAATGTAAATATATAATCACTGTATAGGCTACCTAACAAGATATTTGCCATGTAGAGGGTGCACAATACATCATCACTCGTGGGGTGTCAGTACAGTGTGTGGCCTCATCTGTTACTCCAGTTATATCATTAGTTTTATTTTCATGGTAGTTAATGATGTACCGGTAAAAACTAACAAGTAAGTTATGTTATGAATCCCCAGGTTGTGAGTAAACTATAGCATCTGAAACTGCTATCTGACCAATTTGTATCACCAGTTTAGTGTCGTTTTTCCAGACTAAGTTTCAGCTCTTCTTTTTCATGAAATTTATCGGTTTTCCGTAGATGTGGATCAAGCAGTGACGATCTTCAAGGAACTGGAGGCCATAGATCCATTCCGGCTGGACAACTTGGATACTTATTCTAATTTGTTGTACGTAAAAGAAATGCGTGTGGAGCTCTCACACCTTGCCCACCGAGTTGTACAGGTGGACAAGTATCGAGTGGAAACGTGCTGTGTTATCGGTGAGTGGCGACTGTATCAACCGTAATTTTATCTTAGAAATCAAACCTCGCATTAGAAGACATAAACTTATAATTGATTTGTTATCCAAGTTGATGTTAGCATTATACTGTACTGTGTCTCATGTTGTGAAGAAAGTTATGTTCTGGTGAAATATTCCTTTGTGCTGTTGTCATAATTTTATGACCATTTTCCACACTTACATGAGTTGCCTGTTGTTACATGATGATGGCTTTCTGAACTGCATTGCCTCTAACAGCCTACCCCTGGCTTTCCCCTCCAGCTCTCTATACATTTAGACTTATACAGTACATCTCATAACCCAACTGGTCTCATCTACTCTCTCCACAAACCCTCACCATCTCAGCTTACTTCTACACAAAACTTTGTCAGTACAGTACTCTCAATACTCTTCTGCGAGTAATATAATTTTTTTTCTCTTCAGCTTCTTGTTGTTTAATAATATGGTTATGCAATTTATTTCAGGTAATTACTACAGCTTGAGGTCTCAGCACGAGAAGGCTGTACAGTATTTCCAACGTGCTCTGAGACTTAATCCACACTACCTGGCGGCCTGGACTCTGATGGGTCACGAGTACATGGAAATGAAGAACACAAATGCTGCCATACAGTGCTACCGCCAGGCTATTGGTATGTGGGACGAGGAAGTATTTCACAACGTTATTTTTTCATTCTTTTAGGAACTTTACAGAGCATTTATAATAAGCACAGAACTGAAGTAGGACAAGTGCTGTACAGTACATGAAAAACAGAAAAATGCATTTAAAGTACCATAACTTTGAACCAGTGAAGATTTAATTGATGTTCGTGAAAGACATTGTATGTATTGTTTTGGGGCATACTGCTGCTTGTACTCGTGTGAAAATTAACTGTTTATGGCCTAGGATGGTGGATGAGGTGATATGTACTGTACTGTATATGTATTTGATGTGCTTTACATAACCATCAGAGGTGAACAGACGAGACTACCGTGCCTGGTACGGTTTAGGCCAAACCTACGAGATCCTCAAGTTGCCAGCGTATTGTTTGTACTACTTTAAACAGGTGAGGAAGTATACTAAGAGCTCTCTTATATTTTTTCTCTTTTTCTTTCTATTTCTTTACTCTCATCATCTTTTCTTCCTTCTCTTTTGGTATAAATGGATAAAGAGGAAATAATATATGTACAACCTGATGCTGTACAGTATGTGTGTTATTTGTGGTGGTTATGAAGTACTGTAGGGAATAGCTATACACTTTACAAAGAGGAAGTGATTACAGTACCTCCCCCTCCAGGCCCAGAAGCTGAGACCGAATGACTCCCGTATGTTGGTGGCACTTGGCGAAAGTTACGAGAAGTTAGAGAAGTGGGAGGAAGCCAAGAAGTGTTTCCTTAAAGCTCACAGCGTCGGTGACATTGAAGGTATCGCGTTGTTGAGGCTGGCTAAGTAAGTTAATTAATATATTTTACTCAATGATTTATGCTGAAAAATATAATAATTCTTGTTTTGTGAAAATTAGTTTTCTATCTTTTTTATCATAAAATTACCACCTACAGTGAATGTCTATACCGTAATGTATTAATTGGCGTGTTTGGGGGAAAAACGTAATGAGTCATCAAGACACACACCTGATGATATTAAACTGTCTTGTAGGTTATACAATCGCTTAGGAGAAGGAGAAAGAGCAGCTGTTCTCTTTGAGCGCTACCTCCAGGAGACTGAAGATGCCGGCCTAAGTGAGGATCGAGGGCAAGCTTATCAGTTCCTAGCTAATCATTGCCTCCAAAAGAGCGTGCTTGATTTTGCTTATGAATATGCTCAAAAATGTACACTGTTCATGGAAGTAAGTATATTGTGATTATCCCACACAACGGACATAGTTTCCTAGATTATATAAGTGAGTGACAGAGACATTGCTTTGTGTTACTTAATGCTGTATACGGTAAGAGGACAGGCAGAGAATCTTTCAGTTCCTTCACAAATTTTCCCGTTATGTTTATGATTTCTCATTCATTCATGGTGACCAAACTGTGCTTCAATATGTAATAAAACTGCCTTCTGCAAATATTATCCAGTTGATTGTATACAACTTTATACATTTTTTTTCAGTATCTTTATTTGAATGAACATTTTAAAATATCTTTGGTATAATGAAGCTAACAATTTCCTAACAGACTCGAGAAAGTGGCAAAACCATGTTGAGGGAGATCGCCAACAGAAGACAACACACCGAGCAAAATACAGTGAGTGTTTCATGTGAATTCCACCTGTAGTAGATTATACAGTTTGGAAGAGCAACTTTATGAATCCTACCTGCAAGTTAAATCCCAAAAGTTGCTCAGTTGGCTTTGTCATGGTAACTACTGTACACATGACTAGGGTACAGTACAGTTGAGTTATCCTGTGTATCTCAGCACTATTTTACCCCTGATCTGGATTACTTAGTTCTAGCTGTACTGGATTAATTATGTATATGTATCATTTTCTCTGGACAGAATTTACTTCCTTCTGTAGAGCAGGAAGGAAAGTCATTTATTTATATATTATCAGTTCAAAACAATTAACACTCACTTTTTTTTTTGCAGCAGGATGATTGTGGCAGCGTCTTGGCGAGTCGGGTGCGGCCTCGCGTTGCCTTAGGGGGAGATCGGTCAGCCTCGACGAGATTGCCTCCCCTTAGCCTTACATATACACCATAGCACAAACTTCAAGTCCAGTACTTTTGTTACTTGCTTTCTCTCTTTTATATACAGTGTGTATTTATGTGTTTTTCATGTAAACCTCTTTATTCTGCTGTTTCTTATTCATAACACAATCTGATTTTATTTTATGTACATTGATTCCTTTATAAATTATACTCTATTACAAAATTTTATGAGGACTTTTTAGTGCAACTTACAACCTTGCAAGGATTAATATACATTATACAGGCCGCCCCTGAGTTAAGGCATATCATGTTACGATCATTCGCTTTAACGGTGTAGTTATGCTTATACCCCACCCAAGTTACAATCGTTTCCTCCCTATTTAACTATCTTCCGTCAACCCTCCTGGCCACGCTCTTGTTTCACACATCAAAGCGATTGATGCGCCAACTCCGGACCCTAACTGTTTATATTCCTTATCCATGTTCAAGTTGCTCTGGTCTACCATTACTAGTGTCTCTTGTGACTACAGTTGCATCTTTACTTATGTTTCCAGAGTCAACACAATTGTTGTGTTATTACTTGGAAGACATTATGGTGGTGGTGTAATATTTGTGACAGTTCATGCATCCCATTTACAGTGCAGTACCTACAGTATTAACAGATGATGTGTGATTAATGCTGGTGTTACAGTGCACATGGTCGCCAATCAGTGAAGGACTTGATTACCAATACAGTACTGTACATACAAACCCCCAGTGCAGCTATGTAGGTGGGGAAAACGTAAATTTATATGATCTCCAAAAACATGACCCCATTAAGACCATGTTAAAGTATCTGAAATAAATCATTTGCCTAATGATAAGTTTTTCAAAAATTTAACCAATCATAACTCAGGGGTCACCTATAATACTCGATTGAAATTGTCCCCGTGCTCCCACTTTTATCTCTGTCCCAAATTAATCCCAAATCAGCAAGTGTACTAACCTCTCGCTAATTGTTGGCTTGCCTTTACACCTTCTACACTCCTCTAGATGGGCAGGAAAACTGTTAGCAAGCACCTTGAGATGCTGAGGGGCAGAACTTGTCCAAAAGTGCTGTAGTGCCGCAAGTTTGAAGCTTCGGTAGAGACGAGGAGTTGTGGCCACAAAGTTCCCACTTGATGATAGACCACAGGTTCTCAGTAAGGTTCAGGTTGGGGGGAATTTCCCAGCCAGTTATCTAAGAAGGGCACACAACAGTCCTTGAGCCACTGTGTCGTGGTGCACCGTCCTGCATAAAAAATGTGACCTGACATCAAATGAATCAGGTAACTGATCACACAGCACAAGATAATTACACCGATTCAGTTTAATTTTTTGGAAGCACTACATGGTTGCCCACACCATGATAAGTGAAGCAGCCTCACACCATTAAGCGAGTCCAGGAACTTCACTGTAGCTGCAGTGTAGTGGGGATCATAAGGGTCCCTGCCTATTCCGTCACTGTAAATGTTGCTTCATCACACCACGCCGCTGTTCGAGAGACCAGTCCCTATAATTAGCACAGAAAGCAAGTCTCTTCTGCTGCTGGGCACAAGAAATGAGAGGCTTGAAATGGCCAGCAAAGCTGTGGTAGTGCAGGTTCTTTTGAATACTGTCCTCACTGACACATCACCAAGCTGCCTAGGATTCTGTTCCTTAATTTGTCATGCAGACAAACACAAATTAGTCACAGGCAGGGAGCTCAGCAACAGGGATCCTCTCCCTAGGAAGCCAAAAGGACTACCAACTGCCTTTTCCTCACCTCTTCTTGCTTCCAGACACAGTTGCCAGATGTATGATAATTCAAAGATGAACAGTCCCAGCTCTACACACAGTGGATCAATTGTTGGCATATAGTATACAGTACAAGGTATACCACAACACATTTCCTGTGAGTGCCACCTATTGGCAACAAATTCAACATTCCTGCTGCATCATTTATTGTACAGTAAGCAATCAGTGGTTTCCCCCAAGTTACAAAACATGATCATTAGTAATTAAGTCATCCACCATCCATCCCTGAGCAAGCCATCTTCAGGTCAAGGTACTTTTAGCTTTTTTTTGTACATTAATTATATTATTTATTTACAAATTATAATTTTATAGGTAGGGTTGGGTTTTATTCATTTTATAGCCAAATTAACATGGTTCTGTAACAAGAAGTCAACTACAAACAAGGTCCATGAACATAACCCATTGACTTTTTAACACAAGTCTAACTTTAATGCCATTGTTAACAGTCTCCGGTCAGGTTTTACAAATTAAGTGAGTATTTATTCAATTTAATACTCCAGTTAAACATTCATGATTTTGGAAGTAGGAAATATTAAGGTTCAGTAATGAGAAGTAAATATATAGTAGTTATGGTTTATTAAGGAGCCAGTATCCAACTCACCTGCCTACAGGTACAATCATTGATGCTTTGACTTTAACAGTAAATAGGTACGAAATGTTCATATTTTAATTAACAATTCTTGCAACACAACCATGTCATGGCATCAAGAATTGGCTGCCTGTAAACTGTTCCTGCCATATTCTCTGGTACAAGAGTATGGCCATCATTTACTACACCAAACTCTTGTACCAGCTGTTCTCATACGAGAAGCATCGAAGCCCACAAAACGCTCAAAACAAATACCAAGTGCACTGTGGGTATCAAAGCTCTCCGAGGTACTCAAACCCATAAATGAAATAACGAGTCACTGATGCAAGCTCTAGCTGAAAGTTAAGTGAGAAACGAGCTTGCAAGCAATGCTTCAAAGAATACAATATACTGGCTACAGTTAAACTCGGATGTTTCCTATTATTCCAGATAAGACAAGGATATACAGTTGACTCCACAAACACAACCGGTGACAACACTACAATGAGAGATTCCCTTGTCTTTCATTTAAGATAGTAATGCATAAAGCACAAAAAAACACATTAGGTTCCACCAAGAATCACCACCTGTGTGGGTCGTATACACAATCACTAACTCTCACAGTGTTCCACAAGTCTGCATGATATTTCACGATTAACATGCCACATATATTAGTGTTTACCAAGGTATAATTCCTCAGTGTGTCAAGTACAAATATCTTTAGATCTCTTGAGCACCATCAACAATAACTGCTGCTATTCTTACTATTCTGTGGCTGATGAGCTTCAAACGACTATTTTAATTATTGTGCACTGATTAACCTCATTAACCACATCCTGAACACTATAATTAAAATAAAAAGAATTTAAATATGATATGGATTGGAAATATGAGAAAATTGAAAAAAAAATATTTTTATTTGCACCCACTATGAAGATGTATTTAAAAAGTACTTGACATTCGCATTATTTGGGCCAATATTCACAGCTGCTTTGAATGGTATTTAGAAATCACAGGACTCAACATTAGAGATGAAATGGTATCAACTCTATTATTATGTATTCAGGTATAGAGTCAACATTATGGGGACTACTACTAATTGCATTAACCTGATCAAATCATGTATGAGTATACTGTATGTATTGCAATGAACACTAAATGGATTTTAAAAGCTATAGACAATAAAATTAATGATACTCATCACCTGGCCAATGTTACAAAAGTACTGTATAATAATTCCCACACCAGCAACACAGCAGAAAATTTGTTGGAGTTGGACAAAAAGAGACAACTATCTACCTGTTCATAGATAGAAACTTTGTCTATACCAACACAGGAACAACTAACTACTGTACTGTACCGATGCAATGGGAGAATTATTTCATTATTATTTCATAGCTAAGATCTTCTCTGGGTGTTCTGGTGTTAAGTGTGATGGTAATATATCATAATGGTCTTCCTCTTTTTCCATGATCATCCACAAAACTAAACTGACATTAGTTGAATCACCACCAAGTACAGTACAGGTTCAGCACTAAACATTTTTCTCATTGTGATCTTAGGTTTTCACCGAGCCTTTGCAGCTTCTCTGATAAAATTTTTTATGTTGAATGTTCAAGAGATTAAGGATCTGCTTTTCACTGAACAACATTCTGCAAAACTGATCAATCTAAATTTGTCGAATATCACAATTGACCACATCAATGTATGAAAAAATATACATGCAATTTTAATGTAAATTTATCACTAATTCAGTTATGGAGACCAAGGTCAAATTTCCATCACTATCAATATCTTTACAGGAAGTACTGATCAAATTTGTTGTTGTAATAGTTGTTGCAGGCTCCAAACCCATCATCCTGGGATTTCTTGAGTGGCTGACCTGTCTGCTTGCAGTAATCCTCCCAGCCTCCAATATAATGCCGTGACCTATCAGAAGAAATTTACTATTTAAACATGTACTGTACAAATATCTTGACTTAATAATTTATTGTAACCAGTAACATAAATGTATACTAAAGATGATAACAGCAACACATTGGTGAAAAGGAAAATCTTTTTAAAATCACATTTTGACAACATATGACAGACAAACAATGTAAAATTTATCAATGTATAATTAATTGGCTGACAAAGTGATGTCACAGTTTTCAGTACAGTATGGTTTGTTAAAACAACAGTACCTGGCAATTTGGTGTGAATCGTGAGAATAACTGACCGGTGGACTGGACGCCGTTGTAAGATGGTACGAGTATATTGACAAACTGCCGAGCCAAATTTTCCACTGCCTAACTTTTTTCTGGCATTCCCTCTTTTTTTTTTGCATGTAAAAGGCTTCAAAATGAGTAACAAGAGTAAGAGAGGTACAACATAAACCTATGTTTGAAAGACCAAGATGATACATGCAGGGAAAAAAGGGACAGCCAGTCTGAGATGATGCAGCAACAAAACTGATAACACTTACTTCTAGGTGTAGAATATTCTGCATATGGCTCATTTCCTTGTTTAAATGTTTTATTTTTAGAACAATATGAAATGCGTTTCTTACTCTAAAATAATTATTAGTTGAACAAGGTTAAATGGAAGTTAGCAATTTAACCAAGTTTGACTTTTTTCACCCATACTGAATGACAGATGAACAGGAATCTTCAATGGTTTGTGTGTACTAAGTACAGGAAGTCTAAAACAATTTACTGATATCGAGTGACTTAAATATATACTACATATCCATTTATAAAGGATTAGTACAGAAGAATGAAAGACTTACCTCTTAAAACCAAGACGGTGGGCAATCTCCACAGCAGCACTGGAGGCGTTGGGACCCCGGGCGTAGAATACAAGGTTGCGATCTCCTTTATCAGGCTTCTCTATGCAGAATTCTCGCTCCCATTCATCTTCAGACAGCTGCAGGGCAACCTTTATCTTGCAAACTGTAAAAGAAGGAATTACATTAAAAAATTGAGTAAGAAAAAATTATGGGTGATATTTAGTTAAATAATTGCAATACAGTACAGTATAGAACCTTCATCTTGTCGTATTTATGATTTATGTAACCAATACATTGTGTAAATGGCTCTGGATTAAATTCACTGTACATTTTATATACACAAGTGTCTCCAGTTAAGACACGGTCTGTCTATGGAACCTGTTTGTGTACCAGGTATATGTCTAGAGATGTTTATATGGTAACTATGAATAAAAAGGTAAATGCATACAACACATACATAAGTGATACATTAATGAAACAAGATACAGAAATTCCACCAATGATGATTATGCAAACACCCTTTGTGATGAAGGGGAGTTAGCTGCTGCACATATTGTACAGGTGGACCAGTGTTTTTAAGGTTGTACTGTCATAGGTAGGTACTGTACTTCACCCAAAACCTCTCCACAGATTTAAGCTTTCCATATTCCACCAATCCCTCATGCCTCCCATATAAGAACCACTTCACACTACTGTATAAAAATTATGATTCAAATAACTCATGGGAAATGTAAATAATTGTTTAAACAAGTCTGCAAATGGTTTACAGTTTAATATAAATAAGCGAGTAATATAAGTTATCTCCTACAGTGATCAAAACGAGACCAGAAAACAGCAATAAGTATATGACTACATACACGGCTAAGATGACAGCGATGTACGAGTGAGCCCTCCTAGCAACAGCACCAACCTGGCAACTTTCCCTCCCATGCATTAAATGTGACCAGTGGACCGGCTCACCCAGACACAGCCTTGATAGCTGTTAAGATCACAATCACCATCAATGCTATCAAGATTTTAAGGAAAAAGTCCATTCATCATCAAACTGACCACGAATGCTAAATAAGTTATATACAGGGTGTACTGTAATTACACTCGGCCAAACGAATATTGAAGAATAATAAAGCTAGCACCCATAACTTTAATAAATGTCCAATTTAGTTTTATGACAAGCAAACGTTCACGGATGGCCAGAGAAAGGTGTGAAGACCTGGTTAAGCTCATTTCTGTCAGTCTGCCTAAAAGCATAACATGTAGGTGTACAGTTCCAAATACAGACAATTGGCTCACCCCAATTGCGTTCAAATAACCAAACATGTTTGGCTTCACAGCACACTGCTTCATTTGTAGTCAAGGAGACGCAATACTATACAGGTCAACATTTAACGTGTATGTCTGGCAGCGCCCTTTATAACTTGTTACATTATGACTTGTACCCCCTCCCCCGTTATCTTAGAAGTCTTCCATGCTGATTATATCTTATCTATAGTGACCATCATTAAGTGCGGTGACCCACTTTAGAGGAGGAAAAGTGGGCTAAAATTAACTAACAAATAAAGGATTTACCTAAATATATTTGATTTTTTTCGAGGCTGTATGGCAAACTTGTTGACAAATGATGTTTACATTCACAATAGCCCAGACAAGCGTTTATTTACCGGGAGATGAGATATTGTGGTCTGCATGAGCCTTCACACCCTCCTGGTTTAAAACTACATTACCCAAACATTTGGAATGACGTCACCTAAATGTGTCAATATTTTCGATTGGGAAACATTATTGCAAGACATTTTTTTTTCAATTTAGAACATTTTAACAATACAGTGTTACACAGACATCAGTATGTGGGAAAATACGAGAGTAAAATCATCTGAATCATCATCATCCTGGGAGCTGGAGCAGCCTGCCAAGGAAGCACTAAGTTTTAGCTCACGTGGAAGCAGCCTTTAAACAATGCAATGACTGCGCACATGGACCTGCATGTGTTAGGAGAGCCTCTGGTGCGTAATAGTGCCAGCACAGTGTGCAGGAAGAACGCATCCGTAATAGATATCTCTGACGTGTCTTCGTCTCCCCGTTATGGTTGGCACACGCAGACTATTTTCAACTGTTTACTCCTCAATTGTCTACTCGGGGCGAAAATATGTACAGTAGGTCGTCAACAGCTTATGGTATCGGCCAAACAGCTCATACATACATACATACATACATACATACATACATACACTCTTGTGTAGTATATCCCTCACCAACCTACTCCAACGAAATTTTAATATATAATTTTAATATTAGCCGTAACGTGGTATAATGCGTTAACTAATAAAATGAAGGATTATATGATTGGTGTATTTAAAATATGCTACACTAAAACTAACTAGATTTAAAATATATTCTCAATTAGATGCCAAGGTTTTTTTTTTACAAAAAACAAAAGTAACTAAGGCTCGTGAGTTTGTTTGGTCCACTGTACGCCCTTTCTTCTCTAAATTTAAATCATCTCAATGTGAACAACAAAGCGCTCAACACCATTAATACACCTAAACTTTACCTTAGACCCTATTGAGGTGTTGGGACGACCTACTTTACGTGTCCTGCGCAATGCCTCAACACGCCACAACCAACGATAGCTCACCCTGACATCTCGATAAAGTGTTTCATCCTATCGTCAACCTCAAGTGAAGTAATGCAACTCGTTTCAAAGTCCAGTGTAAACGTGTATTCTAGGCCTATAGGGGATTTATTCGTACAGTTTATCTAAATCAGCACATTATACGGTACAAAAAAAACCCAAAACATGGAAACATTAATGCAAGAAAATATCAGTAACACATTTTCCCTACTTCATATTAAAAATACTGTATAGACAATAAACAACTACAGGGGCCGTGATAGGGGGTAAACTTCCTGTATGCTCAACAAACTGCAACCTTGACAGTTATCCTTAAAAGGTGAAGTAAACGGTTTACTCGTCGTTACAATGTTTGTGGCATTTTCTACTTTTCTTTACCTTCTAAATTTCTAAATAACACGAAGGAAAATATATCCAAGACTACCGTGGTCTGTAATACACCAAGTGGCAAATATAGATAACCTTCGGAAAAGACTAACTTATCACCGAGACTTAAAAAAATTCAGCTTCCGATAAATAAGTACTGTACGTGTAAATGCAATCCTGGACGTCCGCAGTGTCTTGTAAAAAAAAAAATACCGTTACTAATTTCACTACAACTGTGCAGCAATTGTGGAAAAAAATGCTTCGTATGGTCACAAATACCTTTATAATGACGGCAAAAGCCTCGAGGTGTTCCCAAATATGCTATATCCCCCAACCACTGTCTTTACGTAAACTCCTTAATCTCTCTCTCAATTCTGTTCTCTATTTCGAGTGTAGCAGTTGAAACTTGTGCCTGACCTCCCCCACATAGTAGAGGGTGACTGGGTGTGGAAGAGTCGTCGACCTTGGCCGATCAGCTGACTCCAGCCAGTGCCAACTACTGCACCGTCACGACTTTACCTTCAACATTAATGCCATTTACTGTCCAAGACATCGCCTACAATTTGGGATTAAATATAATTATAAACATTCATCATTACGTAATATAGTCACATGAAAGATGCGACCAATTGATGAATAAATGAAGTCTGTACATACAATATGACTGTACGTCAGGTAGACTGCAGCAGTAGGTTAACAGGATTTGTTCTGCCTACTAGGAAGAACGAGGGGTAGGCCGTGGGATGAGTGACGCAAGAGGACAGCTGAGGTCTTTGGGTAAAGCTGGCATCGGGGCAAAGTGAAACGGCCACAAAAACACAACAGGTGCTTATAACTCCCAACACAACATCTCAATCTAAACATTCTTTTGGGGGAAATATTCTTAAAGGGAATTCTATAAAGGAGAGGCCAAGTTAAACCCTTCACAGTACTGCTATTCTGAGTCAACAGTTCAAGCACACAGTTTCATTGTTTTCTTTCCTCTCAAAATAGATCAAAAATTGTAATGGCGATTCCTTCCCCATAAAGAAATTAATTATTCTTTCCACTCTACATTAATATACATAATTTGTTACTAAGGTATCTAGAGCCGACATACAACTAACATTCACACAGACAATATAACATTACTACTTCTGCCACACGTGTATACCAACCAATACCACAGTGTGTATCAGAAAATTCAAACATTACCATTATATATTTCTTCCACGATTTCCTGTAAAACTCTCGCCCTCCATTTCTAACTCTAAACTCAAAACCCCTTCACCAACCCTCCTTCCTACATCCCTCAACCACCCGCTACCTCATCCCTACATTGATTCCGAGGCCACACCTAAAGTTCGGGCAGCAACATAACACCATGGCCTCCCTCTGACCTTCACAACCACCGCCAGATGGTTCATCCTTTATACACCAGATTACCCAAACTTAACTTATCCCAAGTATTACCATCTTTAGGGTCTCCACACTGATCATTTGTGACTTTTGAATACCGTAATGATGACAACAGTAGTAGAATACAAAGATTCCTGCAATAGTTAAATATATAAATACGGCATCTAGGTTATAATTAAATTACATTCCTGATAACATAAACTGCAATCCCACTTTCTAGTTCGCAGCTTTGAAAATGTTATAATGTAATCCTAACACGCATGAAAGTAAATAAACACCGGTATATTGTCGATTAATTGTGTAGGATAGTTTAATTATTATGAATCCAACCTGAAGCTTCTAACTTAACTCCATCAACGTGGCCACAATGGAAACAAGGTAAAATAAACTGTCCCTCAGACCTGCCTAGCTCAACACATGCTACACAGGACTGCTCACACCAACTATATCGACTTGGTACACATACACCGTCTGCCCAGTTAGGTTAGTGCAATAAGTTTTACTATTAACTCTATATACAATTGGAAAATATATTAGTTCTCTCTCAAGCTGTGGGATGCTAAAATACTGTATATTATGTAATTTGTCCTCGGAAGAACGGCACTATGATGTAACCAGTGGTGCCAAATTTCGTTTCCCCTCTCGACTAAAACGCACATATTATCGATTGCATTGTTTTTATAAATACATTACATTAATAATATACACTACAATATGACTACAGGGAATTACGGATAAACATACTATTAATACAAATAAAAGTACTGTAC